TATATATATAGAGGGGCCTCTTAATAGAATCTTAATTTCTAATTTAATAGGTTTTGTTCTGTTTTTGCATTTATATGTAAAGAATATACTGGAAGTGAATTTAATTTTTTTTTTTTTTTTTTCATTTTGATATATTGCGACATTCACTTTTGGCCCTCGGCCCTCAATCAAGTTGGATTTTTGGTCCTTCATTGTGAAAAATTTGGGCACCTCTGCACTAAAGTATAAGACATATAAACCTTTAAAATAAAACACAAAATGTCATCAGTATTTTTAATTATAAAAGCTATTTGGGATGTTATGTCTTGCTGTTTTATAAACCATACCGAAAAATCATCTTCCTGAATACTATGCCAATAATCGAAATGACAATTTGATTTATTAGAAGTTTACTTTTAAACTACCCTCTTGAAACCCTTTCATAACAAACAAACGTGTCGTTTTTGTTTGGGACGTTTTGAAAGTAGGCCTACTTAACGAATGATTGGTGAAGGCATTTGAAGAGAGAGCTGACTGAGAGAGGTGTTGGTTAACAAAGGGCGACATTTGTATAATATAAATAAAGAAGAAAGACAAATAAGAACTGCTTATGGTAATAGAAGGGATGATACAGTTATATCTCGATTGAGAATTGGACACTCTACTCTTAATAAATCACTCCAGATGATAGGAAGACATAAATCTGGTCAGTGTAATCATTGTGGACTTCCAGAAACTGTAGAGCATGTGCTGATTAACTGTAGGGCATATGAAAGGGAAAGAATACAGTTAAAAGAGGAATTAAAATCTGCCGGCATTAATTCTATGACATTACAGAATGTGTTAAACAGTTCTCATTAAGGTTATAAAGCTCTTATTAATTTTCTGAAAATAACAAATGTATATAATAAAATATAGGTATAACAAACAAACGTGTCGTTTTTGTTTGGGACGTTTTGAAAGTAGGCCTACTTAACGAATGATTGGTGAAGGCATTTGAAGAGAGAGCTGACTGAGAGAGGTGTTGGTTAACAAAGGGCGACATTTGTATAATATAAATAAAGAAGAAAGACAAATAAGAACTGCTTATGGTAATAGAAGGGATGATACAGTTATATCTCGATTGAGAATTGGACACTCTACTCTTAATAAATCACTCCAGATGATAGGAAGACATGAATCTGGTCAATGTAATCATTGTGGACTTCCAGAAACTGTAGAGCATGTGCTGATTAACTATAGGGCATATGAAAGGGAAAGAATACAGTTAAAAGAGGAATTAATATCTGACGGCATTAATTCTATGACATTACAGAATGTGTTAAACAGTTCTCATAAAGGTTATAAAGCTCTTATTAATTTTCTGAAAATAACAAATGTATATAATAAAATATAGGTAGAAGGATTTTTTTTATTAGCATTTCCCTTGATATCATCGCCTCACACTCCATCCCAGTAGGTGGTGGAAAATGCACCAAAAGCTGGTTTGCCAACCGTCATTAAACATCAAAAGAAGAAGAAGAAGAAGAGAGGTGTTGGTTATTATTCAGCAGCTCTGACTGTACATCCCACTGGATTATGCACTTATTGTAATGTACAAGAGACAGTGAAGCATATACTGTTAGACTGCAAAAAATATGAAGAAGATAGGGCAGAATTAAAGGCACAAATGGATGAACAAAGCATGACACTTGAGCATTTATTAGGGAAAACATCTGGGAGAATACGCAATTTATTAATGTTATTTTTGAAAAACACTGGGTTAAGTGAAAGAATTTAATAGGGTAAATATTTGTTGTTATTTTTTGTAATCTGATATTTATTTATTTTTTCTCTTCCCTCTCCGCTCCTTTGATGTCAGTCTAATTGCCCACACTCCAGTCTAGTAGGTGGCGGTAATGCACCTTTGAGATGAGTTGCCAACCGCCATTAAACCTGAAAGAAGAAGAAGAAGAAGCTCTGACTGTAATCCTGATGCCATTGGCCAGATCAAGCCCGTCCTCCGCGGCTCCCGAGACGATAACAACGACTGGACATGACAGCAGCACGGTGACAACACTAAAGAGGACCCTTGCAGACACTTAAACCTGTAAATATGGCAAATTAGACCCAATAATGGGCTTTATTTCACATTTGCTCTGTATCAACGGCGGCAGCCTCTTGAACGCACGAGGTCTGGCTACTGCTGTTCTGCCCTGAGCGGCTTCAGGCTAAGCTAGCGCGCCATATATACATCCAGATCATTTCCAAGGCACCGGTTTTATTTGTAGCATCATATTACTATAGATTGTGTATTTTTGCTGTCACGTTTTTCCAAACACGTAAGTATGGCTCATACGGGTGGAGCGGAAGACGCGACTGAAGGGAGCGGTTGCACGGGGCCGCTGCGCTCCCGCGTCGGCCTCAGGAGCGGCTCGTGCTCCGGCGAGAGTCAAGAGCAGCTTCGCGCGGTGAAAGCAACGCTGCTTGAGCGGTTGGGACCGCACGAGCGCCTGCTCACCTATCTGCAGTCTGTGTTATTGTGGGAGAGACCCTTTCACAGCGCCCTGCTGTACACGGCCGCCAATGTCATGTTCTGGTGAGTGGATGAGCTTTATCTCCATGGATTTATCTCTGCTCGGGCTCTGTTTACAATCTAACGCTTTCCGTTGAAACGTTTACATTATTCATGAAGGTTTGAGGATGTTGTATAAGCCTTTCTTGTTTTATCTGGATGCATATGTGTCTCTGTTCCAGACTTTTGCCCCTTTAATTTAAGATAAGAAACAGATGGTCAGGCTGGGTGCCTATATTTAGACAGTGAGCTCTGGCTGTATTGGTGTTACTGTGAAGACAATGCTGTGTGCACACACTTTGTGAATTACTTTGTTATTGACGGGACAATTACGTTTAATCTTGTATTAGGTACCATGTTTGACTGTTAAGCAGAGATCAGTTTGCACTGCATTTCTGTGTCCTAAGTATGTTGCATGTTGTCTTCCACCTCCTACTATAACTATGTAGCACTAAGACAGACACTGCCATGCACATTATTGTATATTTCTCTCACTCTCTGTGTGTGTGTGTATACATTTTATATGTTAGTGTAATATTAATATTATAATATTATTATTACATTAATCATGACGTTGAGATTTAATTCTAATTTTATTAAAATTTAAAACAAATTGTATTTTTATAATAATAATTATTTATTAAAATTTAATAATAAAGCCAACTAGCATATTATGTTCCCAAACCGGTTTGTTGGGCCTGGCCTTACAGTGGTATGATTTCTTGTTCATGCCTTAAAGGGGTGGTTGATTATGATTTCACTTTTTTAACTGTAGTTAAAAGTGTAATGTTGCTGTTAGAGCATAAACACCACCACTGCAAACTTACGGCACTCAAAGTTCAATGCAAATGGGGATATGTTCCTTTAAAGAAATCGCTGTTTAAGGACTACAAAAAAACAGCTGGTATGGACTACAGCTTCTTCCCAGGTTTGTGACACTTTTTTTTTTTTTAAACGAAGCATGAACACATGTTACACTGCACCCCATAAACACAATCAAGCCTTCGAAAAAAGCTGATCAACCACCCCCTTTAAGACTTTAATCAGGCCAGCCTGAGCCTAATTAATACAGACTTTGACATTTGAGCTAATAAAGCCAACATTAGTTCAAAATAGACCCTATTTACTTTCTTAATGCATGTCCTGGTCTTATTATGAGTTATTGATTTGTGCAGTTATTACAAAGAAAATACAAGAAATCTTGCTTGTTTGTAGGTGACCAAATACTTATTTTACAGAGGAGTTTACCAATTAATTCTTTAAAAATCCTACAATGTGATTTTCTGGATTTTTTTTCCTCATTTTGTCTCTCATAGTTGAGGTATACCTATGATGAAAAATACAGGCCTCTCTCATCTTTTTAAGTGGGAGAACTTGCACAATTGGTGGCTGACTAAATACTTTTTTGCCCCACTGTAGTTTGCCTTTAATCAAAATTTAATAACATGCTCTTCCTCTGAAATTACTTCCCTTTTCTGTTGATAAAATAATAATAATCCAAATAATAATAATAATCAATAGCCAAATAGCTATTTAAGAATTCATGCAAACGTATGTTAAGGCTCCATTCTGATAGGTAACACCCACTTTTTGCCATCCTATTCAAATCCTTAATGGATAAAGTCCTGATAATTTGGCCTCCTTTCTTGGAAAAATGTGATATTACAGAATTGGGTTGTGAGCGAGATTTCATGTTGACTACATGCTATAAAGAATGCTTAACAAGTCTGAAAAGCTTTAGGTGAAATGCTTCAAGAGGGATGTGCAGGGAACAATTTTTGGATGGCTCACTCTCTTTTTCTTTACGGTTCAGGCATGCAGTCTTCATTCACTTAGTGCAGTCACCCTCTCCATCAGAGAAATATTCTCCCTGATCTTATTATCTCCTTTTATTTGCTTCAGTGAACAGCAGAGGAACCGCTTGTGGCATTTCTGTGCTTGTAAAGACATTTGTATATAATTTTTTTAACCACAGCCTAGGCCATGCAGAAATAAAGTTTGGGGAGATCTGACCCCCCTAAAGAAGGCTTGTTCCCCCCTGATGGATGTCAAAAACTAGGTGTACTAGGGGGAGTCGGAAAGAAAGTGGCCTAAACATAATTGAAGCTTTACTTGTAAATATTAAAATGCATTTCTGTAGCTCTGACTAATTTTAAACTGTAATTTTGGCAGCCCCTGAAATGGGTTATACTGACATTACCTGAGCAATTGAAGAATATGCTAAAGCGCTCATTCAAGGACGTGTATTAATGCTTGGACGGGGCAAGAACACTTACAGTGCCTATAAAAAGTATTCATACCCCTTCATTTTTTCACTTTTTTATGTTGCAGCCTTATGCTTTAAATAACTTTTTTTTTCCCCACATCAATCTACACTCCACTCGAAGTCTTGTAACATCTACAAGCAATATGAATTCTCCTGAGCGAAATTTCAACTGTCCCAGAAATGGAATAATTTCAGTTTTTATTTCTAATAAATTTGCAAAGTTGTTACAAACCTGGGTTTTTTTTTTTGCTTTGTCATTATGGTGTATGGAGTGTAGACTGATGTGGGAAAAAAAGTTATTTAAAGTAGTTTAACATAAGGCTGCAACATCAAAACGTGATAAAAATGAACTTTTATAATACTTTTTTATAGGCACAGAAAGTGTCTAAAATGCATGTGCAGATTCAGTCGAGTGATTAAGTTTACCCTCTTTAACTTGAGCTGTTGAATGCTGTTGAACTGAATTTATAAAGCAAGCTATTTGCTAAAATAACTTCAACATTAACAGCATCAGTGAAATATGAGTGCGCGGTTTATCTGTCAGTAAGATGCGCGTGATTGTTCCATGTGTTATAACAAACACTAACAAACCTGTCCGTCATCTTACATTGATGCAGTTGCTGATGATCAACATGATGCAGGACGACTGACTGACTGATGTAGCCTATTAGAATGCAGTTATATGAGCCTAAAATTCAAGATTTGAGGGCCAAAAACAAAAAAGCCCCTGGTTGGGTTTGTCTTATATTTGTACCATATGATCTAGTTTAGCAATATCACAAGATATTACACTTATTGTTTTTTTACAACAGTTCAATAAACAATAAGTAAATTTTGTTACATTTTAGACACAATATTATCAGTATTGTCTGTTTTTGTGCAAATTCCATTACTGAATGAATCCATGTTTTTGAATGAATCGATTGAGCCAATGATTCAGTGAGCCATTCATAAAGATAGACACTTGCTTCGCTTCTGAATGAATCTGCCATTTGAACAGTTGAATAAATGACTGAATGACTCACTCATTAAAACAGCATTTTCCGCCACCTACTAGAGTATAATTTCTTAAAATAATTTTGTATTTCAAAATGTCATTGTTTTTGTTTTTTGGAAAGTTGAAATAAAAATATTTCTTTCTAATTGTCTAAGTCGGTGCTTTTGTAATTTAACACAATAATGACTTTAAATCATAATGACTTTAAATTATCTTTAATCAGCACATAAAGTGCCAATTAATTCATCTTATTAATGAGATGTATGTTTAAATAAATCTGTTATGAAACAAGTTATGACAGCCACTCTGTAAATGATTATATTTTACCAACAAATAGAAATTATGATTTGGAAATTTATTTAAAAACTGCATTGTGCAATTCACATGTTTGCATAAAATTATTTATTTATTTGAGTGTTGATTATTATTATTATTATATAAAAATAAATAGTAATTGAATTTAAGTTTGGGCTCTGTTGTTAATTGTAACTTTATAGTAATGTATAAGGGCTCCCATAGTTTAGAGCAGAATCTGAGGTAGATTTTTATCCCTTAGAAAATGTTTATCATAATTAAGTTTATTTAAAGAAAAATTAATTTGTGCAGTAAACCACTGTTTATATAAAAAAAAGAAGCAATTTTATGTTTAGTTTTCCCCCCCTGCTGTACCGAAACCATATCGAACCGTGATATCAAAACCGAGGTAGGTACCGAACCGTCATGCTTGTGTACCTTTACACCCAGATATCACAACTGCCCATGCAGCACATGCTGTCTTTGTGATTTGCACATGAAGACACTTGGGCCGGAAACACCTGTGGAACAAAGGTTTCCTCATACATTCAGCATGATAAATGCGTGACAGATGTCATCACAAGGTTTTAGTCAGAGATTCAACAACAGAGCTGTTGATGCAGTATAAAGTGCACATTGTAATCCATAAAAAAAAAAAACTTATCTAAACACTTCACAAATTATTAAAAAGCCTTTATTCAAGGTTATTTCATGATGAAAACATTTATTAAGAGAGTAAAAATAATGGACTACAGTCTCTGATCTCTTCTCAGGTTTTTTGCTCTGAGCTCTTTGAGGTTGCTCTTTCTGCTGGCATCAGGTCTGGCCCTGGCTGTTTGTGTCGACACTTGGAGGAATAAGATCTGGCCTAAGATCAAAGGTAAAATTGACCTTCCTCTATTGCTTGTCTGCAACTACTAACTATAAGACCTCATGATCTTTCTTCCATGTGTTTATTGTCTTAATATTAATCATACTGGCTGTAATTAAAACCTCTGTATTCCCTGTGCTATGACCCACTCAGGTTTAATTTTCTCCCTGCCAATTCACACAGCTTCTAGAGAGTTATGAAATTGACATTTCCCACCAGTGCATTTCCTTGAGGTGAACAATATCGACCTGAATCAATATTTCACATGTAGCTGTTACACAGTGGCTTATTAGCATTTGATCTACATTTTGAGAAGTCTTTAATAGAATTAAAACCACATCCTAAATTAAAAGTCAATGTTACTCTCATAAAATCTGTCAAAATACGATGGAAGTAAAAATTAAGCAATGTGAAATAAGTGAAACAAGCAAATGGTAAAAAAATAAAAAAAAGTCTCGTAACACTCAAATGTTTTCTGCTCTCTTACAGTTAAAAGACAAGATGATAGTGAGAATGAAAGGTAATGTCTATTTGTTTACTCTTTCAGGTTTTTCCAGTGGTGTGAGAGTTGTTTAATGTAACTGTTAATTCTCTCTGCTCTTCTCTGATTGGCTCACAGCTGGGGTCTGGTGCAGCCTGGGACTTTGAGTGTGCCTGAATTATGCCACCACCTGGCTAAAGTTTGGGTTACGGGCTCTTCCTGTGCAACAGATATTGTGCAGTTCAAACGGCAAAATCCAGGGAAGGTGAGATTACGTCCAAACCAGAAACACTATTTAAACCAACTTTATTACAATTGCATAGTGATGTTATAAGCCCTATAGTTTTGTGTAGCCAGACTTTTGACTTGCGGAAAATAGTTTGGTCCAGTTTGCAGCTTTTTTCTGGCTTTTTTCCGCCCACTTAGACAGGAAGAGACTATCTGAGCAACATGTAAAGTGACCAACCACAGTGCATTTTATCATAGAAGGCCTTTAATTATTATTACTATTATTATTATTATTATGGCTGCTTTATGAGGTTGCATTATTATATTGTTGATATAATGTATAAAGACTTTTGTTTTAGTTCTAAACATTTATCAAATCATGAAACTCCACTGTTTGCAGTTTTGTATGCTGGTTTGTGGCCTGTTCACCATAGTGGCCATGGTGGGGCGCTACATCCCTGGACTGTTGCTGTCATACATGGCTTGTGAGTAACAGAAATACTTCAGGGCTTACTCATCCTCTCCAGCAGCCTTAACAACTGCAAAATATTTACTTTCTCTCTCTGTCTCCCTCAGTGCTGGGTGTGATGCTGTGCCCATTGGCTTTTTATTATCGGCTGTGGCAGCTTGCATGTGTGAAGCTGGAGCCAGCCCTGCAGTGGCTGGACTTCAGCACCAAAGGATACATGATGTCAAAGCCTATAGATAACCAGTGTAAGTACACTGCAAATCTATACAGTGTGATTCCCACAAAATGAAGTGCGGACTGATGTCTTCCTTTTTAGAGGTGTATTTTAAGGACTAGATCTGTTCTTGTAAGATGCAGATTTGAAATTTGCAGGCATAAAGGTCCATTATGTATTGTCAAGAATGTAGTGATGCATGAAGCACAGCTAACACAGAAGTCGCTTTCTAATAGCAGCTTTCTGGAGTGAACTGTGACTCTAGAACCTAGGCCCTCTCCCCCTACCCTCGTCGGGGGAAAGAGCAAACTACCAGCCTAGATTACAGTGTCCTCTTCTAAAAGTCATCTTTGACAATTTGAAAATTCCACCTCTGAAACAGGCTATTCCAGCCTTAAGGCGGTCGCACACCGGAGGACAAGTGCAGCGCTGCATCACACTGCACACATCTTTAATATTCGCACACATTGTTCCCTCTCAAGCTTTCACGAGACATCACAGCGATATTTCTCCGTTATGGGAACTCCTTCCCTTCCAACCTTTCCTGAAGTCCTATTGGCTCCCGCCAGTTCAAATGACTGGCCAATTGGCGCGAAGTATGCAAATCGCATGCAAATACTGGCGAGCTCTAGAGGCAGTATAAAATGCGGTGCCCGCGACAATTACGTCAGAATCTTCTACTTCACCTGTTGAATTCACTATGGCAACAATCTGCAAGATCTGCGCGGGACCAGTAGAACCGCCGGATCAGCACGACTACTGCGTCGCCTGCCTGGGCCTGGCCCACGGCGAGGCGGCGCTGGACGAGTCTGGAATGTCGTCTTGTCGCTCCACCAACCCCAACGGTCGCCCCGTTCCTCGGTCTCACTCCCCGAGGACTGCTTCCACCCTTCTTCCAACATCGCGGAGTTTGTGTCCTTTAGCCAGGAGGAGGGGAATGACTTGATGTCCATCTCGGCCTCGGAGAGGGAGGATTGGGCGGGATCGGAGTCCGATCAGCCGGACAGCATGGGGCCCCCAAACCTCCAGGAGGAGCTCATGTTCTGTCAAGGGCTGTCCAGGAGTTGGAGCTTACCTGGAGTCCTTCAGAGGAGCCTGTCAGGAGTAAGCTTGACTCCTGGTATTTCAGGTCCACCTGTGTCCTGCAGCAGCCAAGACCCTAGGCTCAGACATCAGCCTCCCCTCAAAGCCGTGCAGGACTACCGCCCACCTTGCCAATAAAGCGTATGCGTCTGATGGGCGAGGCGGCTTCCGCGTTGCACGCCATGGCAGTGCTGCAGGTTTTTCAAGCTCCTGCAGGCAGCGGAGGGCGGAGCCCTCACAGCAGAGGCCATTAAGGATCTGCGCGCGGCGACGGACTTCGCGTTGATGGCTACGAAGCGAGCGGCCCAGGCTGTGGGTAAGGCCATGGGTTTTATGGTCGTCCTTTAGAGGCACCTTTGGTTAAACCTAGCTGACCTCAAGGATGCTGACCGCTTCTGTGACTCCCTCCGGCCTTTTTGGTGACGCTGTGGAGTCCATTACTGAGCGCTTCGCGGAGGCTCAAAAGCGCGCCAAAGAGAAAAGCCACGGCCAGCGGAGGAGCCCGCGACGTGACTCTCGCCTGCCGCCGGCTGCTAAGCCGTCGTCCTGATGGTCTGAAGAGAGGAGGAGAGTGTGCGAGCGGCCCGGCTCCCAAGCGCCACAAGTTCATGTTTTAAAATGTTTGTGTGTTGGATGTTCATTCAATAAAAATGCATACGTTCTCACAAAAGAGCTATTTCCTCCTCACTCAGTCAATGCGATGCTGCTCGCCCCGCCTCAGAGCAGTGCAGAGCCGCCGCCCACACACTCGCCGGTGCATCCAACGACCAAGCCGCTAAAGCCGCTATGTCAGTTCCTGAGCTTGTGGGAAGTTATTCCGGGAATCTACTTAGTGTGATAGAGCGTGGGTATACCCTTCAATTTAGACGCAGACCACCCTGTTTCAATGGCGTGGTGCAGTCTCTAACATTGCCTCGAAATGCCCTGGTTCTGAGACAAGAGGTATGCAGTCTGCTCGAAAAAGGAGCGATAGAACGAGTCCATCCCAGCGAGCTGGAGAGCGGGTTTTACAGCTGCTATTTTGTGGTACCCAAAAGAGACGGGGGACTCCGCCCGATTCTAGATCTCAGGCCCATCAACAGAGCGCTTTGCAAGCGTCCATTCAGGATGATAACGCTTAAACAAATCCTGGCGCAAATTCGCCCCGGGGACTGGTTTAAAGGATGCATCGACTTGCGGCTGGGGAGCAGTGTGCGAGGGCATGCCGGCTTCGGGGCTGTGGTCAGAACCCCAGAGCCGGTGGCACATAAACCGCTTGGAGCTGGAAGCAGTGTTCTTAGCTCTAAAGGATTTTCGGCCGCAGCTGGAACAGTGACTGGTACTGATTCGCACCGACAACATGTCTGTGGTCTCGTACATAAATCACCAAGGAGGCGTACGTTCCAGGGCTTTGTACAAGCAAGCAGCGAATCTCCTGTTATGGGCGGAGACGGTCACTTTCTCTCCATCAGAGCAGCGCACATCCCCGGTCTCCTGAACCACGGGGCGGACATACTTTCGAGGAAGGGGATTCCTCAAGGAGAGTGGAGGTTGAACCCAGAGTCGGTTCAGATGATTTGGACCCGTTACGGGAGAGCGGAGGTGGATCTGTTCGCCACGAGCGAGAATGCGCACTGCCACCGGATGCTCTGACATCGCACTGGCCAGCAGCCAGGCTGTATGCGTTTCCTCCAATCAAAATATTGCCAATATTGGTGTTATGCAAGATTAGGGAGGAGGGGGCTTCGGTGATACTCATCGCCCCGAACTGGCCGAACCAGCCTTGGTTCCCGGACCTGACAGAGCTGCTGGTGGCGCCGCCCTGGCCGATCCCCATCAGGAAGGATCTGCTGTCTCAAGCGAGCGGCTCGGTGTGGCACCCGGAGTTATGAAGCCTTCATGTGTGGCTGCTTCAGGGATATCAGAGGAGCTGAACGCTCTGCATTCTCGTGTGCTCGACACGCTCTAATTCTGTATGCTCTAAAATGGAGAGTGTTTGTGAAATGGTGGCATGATGTTCATATCAACCCGGCTGCTTGCTCCGTGTCGGATGTGATGCGTTTTCTACAGTACAGACTGGATAGTGGATCTCTGCCATCAACACTGAAAGTCTATGTGGCCGATATTGCCTCGGTTCGTTCCCCGCTGGGTGGGCAATCGATCGGTAGGCACGTGCTGGTGGTGAGTTTTCTTAAGGGAGCGAGAAGATTGCATCCCCCACATCCGCCTTCAGCCCCGCCCTGGGACCTAGAGGTGGTGTTAAGAGCTCTTTCACAGCCACCATTCGAGCCTTTAGCATCCGTTAATATGAAGGAGTTATCTCTCAAAAGTGCACTTCTTCTTGCCCTCGCTTCGGCTAAGCACATAGGGGATTTACATGCGTTTTCTGTGGACAGTGACTGTATTCACTTTGGACCCGGCGACTGCAGCGTCACTCTCCGGCCGAGGCCGGGCTACGTGCCTAAATCACTATCTACCACCTTCAGAGCACAGACTGTTTCGCTGTCTGCCCTGTCTTCTGAGTCATCGACCTCACGTGATGCAGACGCTCAGACTTCAGTGTGCCCCGTCAGGGCTTTGAGGATTTACATTGACCGTTCGGCCAGCTTTCGGCAATCTGACCAGCTTTTCGTGTGCTACAGGGGTTGTGCGAAGGGCCGGGTCGTGTCAAAACAGAGACTTTCCCACTGGATTGTGGACAGGTTTTACAAGCTGGACGTTCAGTCCTTAGCCTCCCGAGTGCTGTCGGTGAGTGACTGATTCACGTTTGTGCTACCTCTATTCGTGTGTTGCTGCGTCGATTATCATGTTATGTGTTATCTCTGTGCAGCCCCTGACAGTAATGTTGTTGCTTCTGCCCTGTTCTCAGCGCAGCCAACGTTATTAATGACCAGATATGCAAATTTCGTATGCCTGGGCATTAGACGCTCATTGGCTTATCTCCACCTATCAGCTGCGAGCCCGCCTAACAAGCGTCGCTATTGGTTGGGAATTGTGTGTGTTCTATCTTCGCTGAGTGTGTAACTTGTACAGGCTGCTCATAGCCTCTCTCACGGTGGGATTGAATATCGTTCCCATAACAGAGAAATATATCTGTGATGTCTCGTGAAAGCTCGAGAGGGAACGCTCCGGTTACTATCGTAACCTCGGTTCTCTGAGAGCGGGAACGAGACATCACGGTGGTCGCCGTGTTCGCTACTCGATCAGCTAAGCTGCGTTCAGTATCAGATTCTGACGTAATTGTCACGTGCACTGCATTTTATACTGCCTCTCGTGCTCGTCAGTATTTGCATGCGATTTGCATACTTTGCGTCAATTGGCCAGTCATTTGGACTGGCGGGAGCCAATAGGACTTCAGGAAAGGTTGGAAGGGAAGGAGTTCCCATAACGGAGAAATATCTCCGTGATGTCTCGTTCCCGCTCTCAGGGAACCGAGGTTACGATAGTAACCGGAGCGTTTTCTTTTCTATGAGTGCATGCACACCGGCGGCGCCACCGGCGACTGTCCGCGGATCCCAGCTGCAATTCCGGGCGCTGTTCATAATCCTGCCGCGCCTCAGCGCCACTCGCATCATTTTCCATTAAAATACATTATATTTGTACCAAATCATTGTTAATGTTATAATGACTTCATCCTAGGCTGGAAGATTGTGTATTGTGCATTTTTTCAGCAAAACGTTTGTCTTTCTGTGGCTCTAAATTTCGTGATTCATTTAGTGAGCTATAAGTTAGATCGCAATTTCTCATCCCGTTTGCTGTTTTTTCATCCCCAAAATTTAAACTGTGCTGTCGGTGAGTGACTGATTCACGTTTGTGCTACCTCTATTCGTGTGTTGCTGCGTCGATTATCATGTTATGTGTTATCTCTGTGCAGCCCCTGACAGTAATGTTGTTGCTTCTGCCCTGTTCTCAGCGCAGCCAACGTTATTAATGACCAGATATGCAAATTTCGTATGCCTGGGCATTAGACGCTCATTGGCTTATCTCCACCTATCAGCTGCGAGCCCGCCTAACAAGCGTCGCTATTGGTTGGGAATTGTGTGTGTTCTATCTTCGCTGAGTGTGTAACTTGTACAGGCTGCTCATAGCCTCTCTCACGGTGGGATTGAATATCGTTCCCATAACAGAGAAATATCTCTGTGATGTCTCGTGAAAGCTCGAGAGGGAACGCTCCGGTTACTATCGTAACCTCGGTTCTCTGAGAGCGGGAACGAGACATCACGGTGGTCGCCGTGTTCGCTACTCGATCAGCTAAGCTGCGTTCAGTATCAGATTCTGACGTAATTGTCACGTGCACTGCATTTTATACTGCCTCTCGTGCTCGTCAGTATTTGCATGCGATTTGCATACTTTGCGTCAATTGGCCAGTCATTTGGACTGGCGGGAGCCAATAGGACTTCAGGAAAGGTTGGAAGGGAAGGAGTTCCCATAACGGAGAAATATCTCCGTGATGTCTCGTTCCCGCTCTCAGGGAACCGAGGTTACGATAGTAACCGGAGCGTTTTCTTTTCTATGAGTGCATGCACACCGGCGGCGCCACCGGCGACTGTCCGCGGATCCCAGCTGCAATTCCGGGCGCTGTTCATAATCCTGCCGCGCCTCAGCGCCACTCGCATCATTTTCCATTAAAATACATTATATTTGTACCAAATCATTGTTAATGTTATAATGACTTCATCCTAGGCTGGAAGATTGTGTATTGTGCATTTTTTCAGCAAAACGTTTGTCTTTCTGTGGCTCTAAATTTCGTGATTCATTTAGTGAGCTATAAGTTAGATCGCAATTTCTCATCCCGTTTGCTGTTTTTTCATCCCCAAAATTTAAACTCATTGACACCACTTGCTCATTCTTGAAGTTAAGTTTTGACTGTTTTAGGAATAGATTAAATGTTTTGGACTGCCGTCTTGAACTGACATTGTGCGATACATGTTGCACCGGGGAGCTGCGCTTCTCGTCCGGTGTGCGACCGCAACAAAACAGTACAGGGAGTGTGACTGATATTACGAAAATAAAACCGCTAAATTGAAGTCAAATGCAAATCCTCATTACAAATGCATCATCACACAAAATATACAGACACCCAATCCTTCCTACCACACAAAACCAACAAATGTAATGTGTTTAAGACAATACACCATGACAGCGCTCACAGCAAATTAGCGACAGACACTTCAAGACAAACAAGCAGTGTTTATAATAAATATCATTGGCACAGCGGCCTAGTAAATGTCCTCACTTACGTTCTTCGCGGCTTCCATCGTGACGTGAATAATAGATGGTCAGTTTTATCAGTGTATATCTTTTTTTTTTCGATAGAGATCTCACAGCTGGCGGAACCGGTCAAAGTTAGTGATAACAAGGCTTTAGAGAAAAGATATGATTGGTCAATTTTTCTGTCATTCGAAATTACTCTCCCATTGATTTACTATTGCTTGGCCCTCTGTAATTTCATAGCTGGACCTCCAATCACAGAGCCGAAGACGCTAGGCGGAAACATTCTAATATGGAGAAAATGGGTTGCTTTCATTAGCCCATTCACTGAATAGGCAGATTTGGAGAGGTAGTATTTGCATGCGATTTGCATACTTTGCGTCAATTGGCCAGTCATTTGGACTGGCGGGAGCCAATAGGACTTCAGGAAAGGTTGGAAGGGAAGGAGTTCCCATAACGGAGAAATATCTCCGTGATGTCTCGTTCCCGCTCTCAGGGAACCGAGGTTACGATAGTAACCGGAGCGTTTTCTTTTCTATGAGTGCATGCACACCGGCGGCGCCACCGGCGACTGTCCGCGGATCCCAGCTGCAATTCCGGGCGCTGTTCATAATCCTGCCGCGCCTCAGCGCCACTCGCATCATTTTCCATTAAAATACATTATATTTGTACCAAATCATTGTTAATGTTATAATGACTTCATCCTAGGCTGGAAGATTGTGTATTGTGCATTTTTTCAGCAAAACGTTTGTCTTTCTGTGGCTCTAAATTTCGTGATTCATTTAGTGAGCTATAAGTTAGATCGCAATTTCTCATCCCGTTTGCTGTTTTTTCATCCCCAAAATTTAAACTCATTGACACCACTTGCTCATTCTTGAAGTTAAGTTTTGACTGTTTTAGGAATAGATTAAATGTTTTGGACTGCCGTCTTGAACTGACATTGTGCGATACATGTTGCACCGGGGAGCTGCGCTTCTCGTCCGGTGTGCGACCGCAACAAAACAGTACAGGGAGTGTGACTGATATTACGAAAATAAAACCGCTAAATTGAAGTCAAATGCAAATCCTCATTACAAATGCATCATCACACAAAATATACAGACACCCAATCCTTCCTACCACACAAAACCAACAAATGTAATGTGTTTAAGACAATACACCATGACAGCGCTCACAGCAAATTAGCGACAGACACTTCAAGACAAACAAGCAGTGTTTATAATAAATATCATTGGCACAGCGGCCTAGTAAATGTCCTCACTTACGTTCTTCGCGGCTTCCATCGTGACGTGAATAATAGATGGTCAGTTTTATCAGTGTATATCTTTTTTTTTTCGATAGAGATCTCACAGCTGGCGGAACCGGTCAAAGTTAGTGATAACAAGGCTTTAGAGAAAAGATATGATTGGTCAATTTTTCTGTCATTCGAAATTACTCTCCCATTGATTTACTATTGCTTGGCCCTCTGTAATTTCATAGCTGGACCTCCAATCACAGAGCCGAAGACGCTAGGCGGAAACATTCTAATATGGAGAAAATGGGTTGCTTTCATTAGCCCATTCACTGAATAGGCAGATTTGGAGAGGTTTTTTTTTTTTACTCCGATAAATTGTATTTTATTTAGATGATGTTATTATGAATTGCTTAAATACAATTTGTAATTTTATTTATTTTTTTCAAGGTCCTAGAGTCTGGAGGAAGGGTGGAAAAGCTCATAGCCCAAATTGCTTGAAGTCCAGTGTTAAGTTGCCACAGTCTGTGATGATTTGGGTCCAACAATTCACTAAAAATGTTTTTTTTATTGGTCTTATGAAGTATTCTAATTTGTTGAGATAATCAAAATTATTTATTATTTAATACACAAGTTTCACAATTTGAGTTGAATTACTGAAATAAATGAACTTTTCCATGACATTCTAATTTATTGAGATGCACCTGTATATTTTAAAACATTTATTTAAAAATGGTAAATATTGTTTTTTACAATAAGTTAGGCCCTCTCTTAGGTTGACTGTGGTCAACACAACAAAGTTACATGAAAAATGTGAACGCAATGCAAAATCTGCACAGAGAAATTTTTCGCCCTGAAACTAAATTTATGATTGTGTGAATTTCTATTGAAAAGACTGGATTTCACCTGCAAAATGTATTGCTGTATCAAATGAGCCATTTTAGCTCCAAACCACTGCCTTCTCTAATACATTGTAGCTCTTTTTCCACAAATCTGTGCAAAGAAACTTTCCTATTTTGATATATTTTGTTGACATGAAGAATCAACTATTGCAGCTATCTCTTATCTGTATTTTACAGTAGATTGCTGCTTTCATAAGTTTTGATAAACCAAACTAATGTTGACCCTTCTGTGTTTGCAGTTCTTCGTAAGCCCATCAGAAGCGGGACCTCCGATGATGCTAGTGACAGCGAAGAAGAACTGGCTGCATTCTGCCCAATGGTGAGCCCAGAAACAGGGTTATTTATAACACGGGGATTTAGAGCAGCTGCATGGTTATGAGGTTAGAGGATCTGTAGGGGTTCATGATTGTAAAAAGCCAATTGGAAGATCATTGTTTTGTTTTTGTTTTTCTAATACACTCACACTTATCTAAATATTCTGCACCTGTAGTTTGATGAAGCAGCGGTTGCTAAGGAACTGGCACTGATTGACTCTGAGCACTCGGATGCTGAGGTGTCGTACATGGATAATGGCACCTTTAACCTCTCCAGGGGTCAAACACCCCTCACAGAGGGCTCGGAGGGTAAGACACCTTGACATCTTCTACGCTTTGACTGTCTTTTCAGTCTTTGTATGGGAGTCATTGACAAGAGTGTCTACAGTAAAGAAAAGGAAGAAAAAAAATTTGGTGTAAAACCTCAAATTCCTGCACATTGTAACAAATGTGCTTTTTGTATTCACTTTGGTTTCATATGCTTTTGAAAAACCTTTATACCATTTTAAAGAAAAAATTCAGACTCATGAGGTGCAACCATTAAGTAAAAAGTAATAATATTTTCTTACTCCTAGAATACATGTGAGTGTACACATCTAATCAAAATCATTATTTAATTTTTTTTTTTTAAATATATTATTCAAGGTTAAAAGTAAAAATAAAAAAAAATAAAAAAAGTTAAAAGTTACAATACTGTTTATAAGTTTGGGGTCAGAAAGATTTTTTTTTTTAAAGAAATTAATACTTCTATTTAGAAAGGATGGATTAAATTGATCAAAAGTGACAGTGAAGATGTTTAAAATGTTACAAAGATTTCTATTTTAAATAATGCTGTTCTTTTGAACTTTCGATTCATAAAAGAATCCTGAAACAAAAATTTTAAGCAGCACAGCTGTTTTCAACATTGATAAAAATAAGAAATGTATCATAATTTATTATAATTATTTTTGAAGGATCATGTGACACTGAAGACTGGAGTACTGGATACTGAAAATTCAGCTTTACCAAATCAGGCACTCCACCATCGATGCGAAATCAAGACCCTTAGTGTATACAGATCTGAAGTCGCCTGTAAGAAAGATTGTGAAATCTACAGTCAAGATGTTGCTGAGCAGAGGAGTCTGATGAAGTAGCAGTGACATATTAAGGCAGCAGCCTCATCTCATGTTGTTAAAGTGGTAGTTCACCCAAAAATCTAAATTCTGTCATCATTTACTTGAACTCGTGCCATTTCTAAACCTGTATGACATTCTTTCTTCTGCAGAACATAAAAGAAGATATTTTGAGAAATGTCTTGGTTTTTTTTTTTTTTGTCCATACAGTGGAAGTCAATTGCAACAAAAACGGTTCAGTTACCAACATTTTTTAAAATATCTTCTTTACACAGAAGAAAGTTATAAGGGTTTGGAACAACATGTGGGGTGAGTAAATGATGACAATTTTCTTTTCTATTTCTCAAACATTTCTTTTTTTGGTGGACTATCACGTTAAGACTCTGAGACAAGCTGTTCTTAAGGTCACTGAGTGATAAACAGCAGTCAGGTTATCTCACTTTGCTATATGGGGTGAATTCAGGTAAATCGGGATGCTTTTTGTCATTGAATTGACTGGGGAAAATGTCCCAATTAACTTCAATTTCAAGCCCCCCCCCCCCCCCCCTGTTTCTTTTTTTCTTTATATGGTAGCCAGCAATGTTGTTCTCAACAAGCTTTTAAAATTTTTTTTTTTTAACAAGTAATTTGGCTCCGTTTAACAGATGTTTCTTCCACAATGATATTTACATTTAAGTTCATACGGGCTGGATTTTTTTCTGCATTACTTGAAAACCAAGGGTTATTAAATGACAGTAGCTCTTTCCTAAAATTTTTAAAGATCTCTGTTGAAAAATAGGGGAAATTGCAGTATATTGTCTTTCAAATGACTATTTTTCATCTGTTTGTCAGTCAAAGAATAAAAATAAAACCATACCAACTTGTTTAACAGCTCTGCAGTGCTGTTCATCTGGATAATACAGCAGCACATTGATTTTGTTTGTAATGACTCTACCTCAAACAAGACATTCGGCTGTAACTGCCACCTGTTCGTACACAGCCTCCTCTCTTCAAACATACCTTTAACCGTTCTGACTTTATGCAGGAACTTTTATACAGGTAGCAGCAGAAAAACTGTAGATCTCCTCTGCAGAGAGAACACAATATAATTATTATACACAAGTGTATTATTATTGTCATATCCTGCTCCCGCCCATATTCGCAGCAGCGTCCGAAAAATTTTTGCACATTCAAAGTCTAGTGTGACCGCCCCTTAACACAGAAGTTACTTTCAAACCAAGCAGCTTTCTGTTGGTCAACACAGCGAAGTTGCATGTAAAATTTGAACACAGTGCAAAATCTGCGTGGGGAAATATTTTGTCCTGAAACAAAATTTATGATTATGTGGATTCCTATTAAAAAGACTGGAGTTCGCAAAATTTCCTGCCATTTTTAGCTCCAAACCACAGTCTTCTCCATGTAATTTAGCTCTTATTCTACATATCTGGACATTCAGTATTCATATGGCATCTAACCTGACTAGGGTCTATTGCATACAGTAGCATATCTGTGATGTGCAGTTGCTTGTTTGACAGTAGAACAAAAATAACAAAAAATGATTTTAGCTGAAGAATGAATCAAAGCATTAAGGTAATACCGAAAATTGTTGTACAGAAACTTTGAATTACTTTATGACAGACACAGTTTCTCAATTGTATGTGACAGTTACATATTACAATAAGCATTTGTGAACATGACCAGTTGATGTCTCTTGTAGCTATGTGTTATCTGTCTTTTACTGTATTTTACAGTTTTCAGAAGTTTTGATTAACCAAACTAATGTTTACCCTTCTGTGTTTGCAGTTCTTCGTAAGCCCATCAGAAGCGGGACCTCCGATGATGCTAGTGACAGCGAAGAAGAACTGGCTGCATTCTGCCCAATGGTGAGCCCAGAAACAGGGTTATTTATAACACGGGGATTTAGAGCAGCTGCATGGTTATGAGGTTAGAGGATCTGTAGGGGTTCATGATTGTAAAAAGCCAATTGGAAGATCATTGTTTTGTTTTTGTTTTTCTAATACACTCACACTTATCTAAATATTCTGCACCTGTAGTTTGATGAAGCAGCGGTTGCTAAGGAACTGGCACTGATTGACTCTGAGCACTCGGATGCTGAGGTGTCGTACATGGATAATGGCACCTTTAACCTCTCCAGGGGTCAAACACCCCTCACAGAGGGCTCGGAGGGTAAGACACCTTGACATCTTCTACGCTTTGACTGTCTTTTCAGTCTTTGTATGGGAGTCATTGACAAGAGTGTCTACAGTAAAGAAAAGGAAGAAAAAAAATTTGGTGTAAAACCTCAAATTCCTGCACATTGTAACAAATGTGCTTTTTGTATTCACTTTGGTTTCATATGCTTTTGAAAAACCTTTATACCATTTTAAAGAAAAAATTCAGACTCATGAGGTGCAACCATTAAGTAAAAAGTAATAATATTTTCTTACTCCTAGAATACATGTGAGTGTACACATCTAATCAAAATCATTATTTAAATTTTTTTTTTAAATATATTATTCAAGGTTAAAAGTAAAAATAAAAAAAAATAAAAAAAGTTAAAAGTTACAATACTGTTTATAAGTTTGGGGTCAGAAAGATTTTTTTTTTTAAAGAAATTAATACTTCTATTTAGAAAGGATGGATTAAATTGATCAAAAGTGACAGTGAAGATGTTTAAAATGTTACAAAGATTTCTATTTTAAATAATGCTGTTCTTTTGAACTTTCGATTCATAAAAGAATCCTGAAACAAAAATTTTAAGCAGCACAGCTGTTTTCAACATTGATAAAAATAAGAAATGTATCATAATTTATTATAATTATTTTTGAAGGATCATGTGACACTGAAGACTGGAGTACTGGATACTGAAAATTCAGCTTTACCATCACAGGAATAAATTACACTTTAAAATATTTTCAAATAAAAAAAAGAGTTATTTTAAATTGTAATATTTCACAGAATTACTGTTTTTACTGCTTTTATTAAAAGATCAATTATTAATAATTAATTTAGAATTAATAAATAGGATGAAAATGAGTGTCATGTCAACGACCTATGCATAATTTTTTTTATGCTATATTATCTTGATCTTTATTTAATCACTTAATAGATCTAGACAGACACAGTGATCCAGAGGAATCATTTGCCTGTGGGCTTCCAGACTTCCCCTCCATCAACCCAGATGCCACCCTGATGGAGGACGATGATGATGCCAGCATCGGGCTGCCCAGTCTCAACTCGGCCGCACTCTCTGGCCCTCGCGGCTCTACCTCCGCCCTGCTGGACCTGGACACCCAGATGGACTCTGATCAGGAAGACTTCGACCCTGAGATCTCCCTTGGCTTCCTAAATACTACCTCTGACCTCACTAGTAACCTGGCAGGGGTTATCGCCAGCAACATGATCCAGGCAGCCATCGCAGGAGCCATGCAGCCCCGCCCACCGCAGGGTCCTCGGAGAGAGAGTGGCCCACGGGCAGGAGCCGCTCCGAGAGGATACAGAAAGCAGTCAAGCTCGGAGCTGGACACAGATCTGGACTTTGATGGCGAGGACTTTGAGATGTTGGATCAGTCCGAGCTGAACCAGTTGGATCCCTTTGGAGGGGGGCAGGGGGGCCAAAACAGAACCCAGGGATCCAGTTTCCTGTCCAACTTGCTGGGGAAGCCACAGTGAGCCCATCTTGCAGAGACTCCCTCCGTCTGTCTGCTCCTCATGTCCCTTGATTCGTGTAGAAGTTTGCAGTGTTGGTTTGAATGTCTACTGAGATGCTTTCAATTTTTCTGAGTGAGTGCGACGGAGAAAGAGTGTGTTTGTTTTGCACTGTTATTGTAATATTAGATTCACTTGCCAGGTTTCTTCAACTGGCTGCAGTTGATATCACTGTGAAGTAATCTTGTTTGTAGTCTGAATCTTCTTTGTTTATGCTCCGTGAGCTTCTGTGTCCTCTTTCATTCATCTGAGAGTGTATGCCACTCGTGTGTGTGAAAGACACTGATTTATTTTGTAGGCTAAGCAATAGGACAACAATCATAGAAACATTTAAAAAGAACCAAAATCGTTTTAACTTCTTAGAAACCAGCAAAACCAACATCAGACCTTTTTACTACATCCAAGTCTTATAGATCTTTCACATCAATCGCTGTATTATTTGTCTTCAATAATAACACATGGGACCAAATCAGGCACTCCACCATCGATGCGAAATCAAGACCCTTAGTGTATACAGATCTGAAGTCGCCTGTAAGAAAGATTGTGAAATCTACAGTCAAGATGTTGCTGAGCAGAGGAGTCTGATGAAGTAGCAGTGACATATTAAGGCAGCAGCCTCATCTCATGTTGTTAAAGTGATAGTTCACCCAAAAATCTAAATTCTGTCATCATTTACTTGAACTCGTGCCATTTCTAAACCTGTATGACATTCTTTCTTCTGCAGAACATAAAAGAAGATATTTTGAGAAATGTCTTAGTGTTTTTTTTTGTCCATACAGTGGAAGTCAATTGCAACAAAAACGGTTCAGTTACCAACATTTTTTAAAATATCTTCTTTACACAGAAGAAAGTTATAATGGTTTGGAACAACATGTGGGGTGAGTAAATGATGACTATTTTCTTTTCTATTTCTCAAACATTTCTTTTTTTGGTGGACTATCACTTTAAGACTCTGAGACAAGCTGTTCTTAAGGTCACTGAGTGATAAACAGCAGTCAGGTTATCTCACTTTGCTATATGGGGTGAATTCAGGTAAATCGGGATGCTTTTTGTCATTGAATTGACTGGGGAAAATGTCCCAATTAACTTCAATTTCAAGTAATTCACCGTTTGTACCTGTTCTTTTTTTCTTTATATGGTAGCCAGCAATGTTCTCAACAAGCTTTTAAAATTTTTTTTTTAAACAAGTAATTTGGCTCCGTTTAACATGTTTCTTCCACAATGATATTTACATTTAAGTTCATACAGGCTGGATTTTTTTCTGCATTACTTGAAAACCAAGGGTTATTAAATGACAGTAGCTCTTTCCTAAAATTTTTAAAGATCTCTGTTGAAAAATAGGGGAAATTGCAGTATATTGTCTTTCAAATGACTATTTTTCATCTGTTTGTCAGTCAAAGAATAAAAATAAAACCATACCAACTTGTTTAACAGCTCTGCAGTGCTGTTCATCTGGATAATACAGCAGCACATTGATTTTGTTTGTAATGACTCTACCTCAAACAAGACATTCGGCTGTAACTGCCACCTGTTCGTACACAGCCTCCTCTCTTCAAACATACCTTTAACCGTTCTGACTTTATGCAGGAACTTTTATACAGGTAGCAGCAGAAAAACTGTAGATCTCCTCTGCATCCTCTCATCTGGTCTGGTCTGATAGATTTAAAGCAAAGTGTAACATTCAGTACAGTACTGAAGCACAAAGGATTTGAGAAAACAGCCTTTCTTGGAGTATGATGAAGCTCGTGGAATTAAATGAGTTGAATTTGCTGTTTCTTTAGTAGATGCTGACCTTTTTTGTTTGACACTTTTGCCACGTGAACTGTTTCTGTTTCTGACCCAATGTTGATGAGACCCATCATTGCTGGCTTTAAGCTTTCATTATTGTGTACGCTGGAAAGTAGGAACCATACCGGAAAACTGCTGTACTGATAAAAAGGCATTCTGTTACCAGAGATCAGTGAAGTGTTTTTGTTCATTACATTTCAAACCCAAGTCTTACTTTATCCAGCCAACTTGAGTTAGGTTAGAAGAGCAGTACTGTTTATTGGGAGTGTTTCATATTTGGTCACTTTGCTGTGATTTTACTTAACCTCTTCTTTTTTTCTGTTTTGTTTTTGCTTTGTTGTGAGCCCTAAGATTTTTAATTGCTGATGATATTTTTTGGATTGCTGTGCTAAAGGTTGTAAATTTTTTTTTTTAGGTAATTCGTGTGTTAAATGTGGCATTTGTGGGATAGATACTTTAAAAATGATTGAAGTTTAATGCATAGTAAGTTTATAGATTGGAAAGCCTTTTATTTTCCCTTTATTTTTATGATTATAGTTATTAATACTATTATTAATAATACTTTACTATTTATATGGACACACTTTTTTATAAATATAGATTGATTTGGTTTGATAAACTGTCCATATTTCTTGTGAAAAAAAGCATGACCAGAATTTTTTTTATTTTTAAGTGTCAGTGTGATTACCATTCAATTGGAAAATTATCTGGCCATTTTACTCTGTCCATTCACCTTTTTGTGGTCAATTTCAACAAAAGTCACCAGCAATTGAAATAGGACAATGAAGTGGTAGTTTATACATTGAAAGAAAATTATGCCCTGCATCATCTATTGATGATGTTGTACTGATGTTCGTGATTTAAACATAAATCAGTTATCAGTCTGCCATGTTGAGGCGAATGCAAAATACAGAATCACTCATCTTTTCTTTCTTTGTGTGAGCATTTTACAGGAGTCTTTCTGTAGCTAGATTCTGCAGTGTCTGTGATTTTTATTTCCGTACAGAACTATTTTCCTCTTACATTCTCTGTAATTGGTTTTTGATAACTTTTGATGTGCAAAAGAATAAAGAGATGAATGAATATATATCCTTTAAGTAAAAAGCGTGATCTTTTTTTTTATTAGTTATTGAATACTTTTAATTTTGTGACCTATTGACCAAAAAAAATAAATAAATAAATATATATATATATATATATATAATCACAAATGCCCATTTTCACAAATTACAATCAAACTTTTTACATGCTTTTTATGATTCTGCCCAGTTGTTTTAATTCATTTAGAAATATTATGCAAGGGTAATTAAAAAAAGCCTACATTCAATTTTTACCAGTATAATAATATTATACCATTTTTTAAAAAACACCTCTGTTTTTGTCTAAAAAGCAACTAGAAATAACTAAAAATGTAAGAATTACATTAGCAAAGATCATTTTTATTTGTGAATTTGACCATGACATCATAATGACAATGTTTTAGATGGTTGATTTCTTAAATAAGTTTAACTTAGATTTTTATTTAAAACATGGTTTAGCTCACAAAAATAAACCCATTCATAACAGGACATTTTAAACCCACACTAGGGGTTGAACGACTTCTGATTTTTTGAAGTCGACTTTTATGTGATGAAAGTCGAGTCGAAGTCGACTAGTCGCTGATGACGTCATTGACGAACAAGTCTGGAGCTGAGACAAACAGCTCGTGCACAGCTACGGCATATCCTATAACAGCTTTTTTATCAGTTCTTTTGTATTTGGGTCGTTATATTTCTCACATATTTCTGCTCGTTCTAAATCAGATACAGATAAAGTAACACAGTAAAGATTACATTAATATCAACGCATTAGTGAGAGCGATTGCGTGTGTGAATTAATTCTACCTGGCAGCGTCTCTACTAGTAGTGAAGCTGTGGAATTTACTAGTTATTAAGAAATATATGCTTGAACTTTTCAGTTTCAGTTTTCAACATTTGAACTGTTTGGAAACGGAGCGTAAATGTGGAAGTCCTTCAAAGGTTTCTTATCCTGTTGTGCCCTCTATAGGACCAGCGACTAGTCGACGTCAAGCTTAAAGCGTCATGGCAGAGCATTGAAGTCGACTAGTCGATTAGTCGGTGCAACCCCTAGTACAGAGTAATAAAATTGCTCTGTTTGTTTAAAGGTGCCATAGAATGAATTGATACAATATTTTAAATTGTTCTCTGATATCTACATAGACGGTATGTGGCTTAGGTAAGGGAAAAAAATCTCCAGAAACGGTTTTACGGGTGACCGTCCTTTACAACCCTAGGATTTGTCCCTAGAATGAAATGGTCTGTTTTTACCTTATTTGGAAGGGTCATGAATAATAATGTTGAGTTCTGCTCTGATTGGCTGTTTCGCCGTGCATCTCAATCTCACAGTGTGGCTCATTTCAGTTGCTCACACAGCAGGAATGAAACACAGGGAAAATATATATTTCAATACTGTCTCTCGCAATTATATCGTTGGGTATCGTAGGATCTGTAAATCATTCGCCATCATCCTCAGTCATCTTTCCTTACTCTGTTTATGTGGTAAGTGAAATCTTATGTACTGTAATGTAACAGGCTACCGCTAGCAAGCAGCTAACCATATCCCTTTAGTGGCTCACATTATTTTATTAGAACGCGCGTTATTTGTTTTCCGTGCCTTTCTGAATACAGACACCAACCCATCCCTGCACAGCCTGTAACATAACATTTATTTCCATGATCTGCCATTTTCGCTATTATCTTCACAATTATTCTTCACAATACCTGCAGAAATTCGGATGATTCGGCTGTGCAGGTTCGGCAGGCGGCTGGCATAGAACATGGGTGGGTATATGCAAATGTTGGTGACGTAACTATTAGTGATCCCGACTGTAACGTCACAGTCAGTGTTATGTTCTGATTCGCCTATTTTTCAGTGGTCTTTTGCATGCATGAGATTTACATAAGAAGGAGGAAACAATGGTGTTTGAGGCTCATGGTCATTTCCATGTACAGAACTTTTATTATTCAACTATGCCAAGGTAAATACAGTTTTCCATTCTATGGCACCTTTAAGCATCCCGTCTAGACTGACCGATGGAAGGCAGGGGAAGTGTTTAGGAAATAAAGTGAGTGTATGTCTGTGCAGGTTTTTTTTATTTTCAATCACATCCATTTAACTGTGTTAAATAGATGTCACACTGTGTGGATGTTCCAGCTGTGTATAGCCGTGTCAGTCCCATCATCCACGACAGAAGCTGGCTGCCAGTGAAACAGACATTTTTATGTTTGCCCATTTTTTGGAGGAATAATTATTTTAGACTGATAGTTTAATGTGCCCTCCTACTTTTAAAATAATTCATACACCCCAGTGTCTAGACTAGACTGTATTGATGCTGCGAGTTAAAGGGTTAGTTCACCCAAAAAGGAAAATTGGCCCATAAATTACTTACCCTCAAGTCATCCCAGGTGTATATGACTTTCTTCTTTCAGACGAATCCAGTCAGAGTTATATTAAAAATTGTCTTTGATCTTTCAAGCTGTTTCATGACACTCAACGAGTGTTGCATGCTTCAGTCCAAAACAAGTTAAATAAAAAGCACCCATCCATAAAACACAGTGTCTCACGTGGCTCCCGGGGGGTGAACAAAGGCTTTCTGTAGTGAATCAATGCGTTTTTGTAAGAAAAATATCCATATTCAAAATGTAATAATCACTTTAATGTAGCTTGCGCTCACTGTTGTACACGGAAGCAGTTCCGGGCGGATGACCTCTGAGGTCAGCATTGCGCATGCGCCGGTGAGTCTCGTGAAAACCAAAGTTTGTTAACAGGAGCAAAGGAAGCAAAGTTTCCTTACTTTAGCAAAGGAAAACCAGTCTCCTCTTGGCTTATATCGAAATCCTCCGACATTCTTCTTTACAAATCCTCGTTTTTGTACTTCTAATAAGTGACCATTGTTTTGTTTTGATCTTTCCACCTGTGTCACTTCTGAGCGGCGCATGCGCAAAGCCGACCTCCATACGACATCCTCCCGGAACTGCTTCCCTTTACAACCAACAGTGAGTGCAAGCTACATTAAAGTGATTATTACGTTTTGAATATGGATATTTTTCTTACAAAAATGCATCGATTCGCTACAGAAGGCCTGAAGCTGTGGAATTTACTAGTTATTAAGAAATATATGCTTGAACTTTTCAGTTCCTAAGCTATTTTATTGAAAAATCACAGAACAGTGTTGACAAAACATTTCCGCGCGGAATGACTCTGTGCGCGTGATGTACGCGCTACTGTCTGTAGCTATGTGTGTGCGTTACAGTGCAGCAGCGCATCAGATTAGAACGGCGATTAACTTACCTGTGCAATAAGCTGTTTAAAACGTGCATTCTGCCGTTCAATTTCGAGCATCCAGTAATATAATCACACATGTCTTGTGGAGCGCTTTCGGAGTATGCATTTATTTGTCATTTGAACAGTTTGGAAACGGAGCGTAAATGTGGAAGTCCTTCAAAGATGTCTTATCCTGTTGCACCCTCTATAGGACCAGCGACTAGTCGACGTCAAGCTTAAAGCGTCATGGCAGAGCATTGAAGTCGACCAGCCGATTAGTCTGTGCAACCCCTAACACACACACACGCGCACGCACACACACACACACGCGCACGCACCAGAATGGCGTCTTCAAGATGACGTACGTTGCGTCGTCACCGGTAGTCCCACAATTCAACTCGGCGCGCGAAAGCTGACTGAGGTAAACAACAGAAGAGTGCAGATCGCTGACAGATCTAGACCGAACAAACAATGAGCAAAAAAGACAGTGCAGGTATGCGATGCTTCTTTTTCTTACACTAGTGAACATTTTATGCCTTCGCTTGCTTGTGATTTCATGAATGATATAGCACAACGCTACAATACATTAATCAGCTGTACTCTTCGTGTCACAAACAGGTGCCGCACAGATCCTCGCTTACTTGAATGAGAAAAACAGACCCTTTAGTGCTCAGGATGTCTTTACAAACCTACAGAAGCAGTGTGGTCTGGGTAAAACGGTAAAAAGCGACATTACATTTCAGACTGTGGGATTTAGTTATTAAGAAATATATGCTTGAACTTTTCAGTTCCTAAGCTATTTTATTGAAAAATCACAGAACAGTGTTGACAAAACATTTCCGCGCGGAATGACTCTGTGCGCGTGATGTACGCTACTGTCTGTAGCTATGTGTGTGCGTTACAGTGCAGCAGCGCATCAGATTAGAACGGCGATTAACTTACCTGTGCAATAAGCTGTTTAAAACGTGCATTCTGCCGTTCAATTTCGAGCATCCAGTAATATAATCACACATGTCTTGTGGAGCGCTTTCGGAGTATGCATTTATTTGTCATTTGAACAGTTTGGAAACGGAGCGTAAATGTGGAAGTCCTTCAAAGATGTCTTATCCTGTTGCACCCTCTATAGGACCAGCGACTAGTCGACGTCAAGCTTAAAGCGTCATGGCAGAGCATTGAAGTCGACCAGTCGATTAGTCTGTGCAACCCCTAACACACACACACGCGCACGCGCACGCACCAGAATGGCGTCTTCAAGATGACGTACGTTGCGTCGTCACCGGTAGTCCCACAATTCAACTCGGCGCGCGAAAGCTGACTGAGGTAAACAACAGAAGAGTGCAGATCGCTGACAGATCTAGACCGAACAAACAATGAGCAAAAAAGACAGTGCAGGTATGCGATGCTTCTTTTTCTTACACTAGTGAACATTTTATGCCTTCGCTTGCTTGTGATTTCATGAATGATATAGCACAACGCTACAATACATTAATCAGCTGTACTCTTCGTGTCACAAACAGGTGCCGCACAGATCCTCGCTTACTTGAATGAGAAAAACAGACCCTTTAGTGCTCAGGATGTCTTTACAAACCTACAGAAGCAGTGTGGTCTGGGTAAAACGGTAAAAAGCGACATTACATTTCAGAGTTCTGCTTTTACGACAAATGTCCAGTAGCTAAGAGAGTCTGTGGTATTACAAGAACTCTTTGAAGTGTTCACCGCTTGTGCTAAATGTTATCATTTAATATTACAGTTTGTATACAGAGTGTATTATGCGGAATGATTTATTTTCTCTTCACTTAACTTACACAGGCTGTGGTCAAAGCAATGGAGCAGCTGGCCCAGGAGGGAAAGATTCAGGAGAAAGTCTATGGAAAGCAGAAGATCTACTTTGCAGATCAGGTTGGTCTGATTCCTCATTTAATATAATCGGGTGGAGACAATTTGCTCTTAATATTAAGAGAACCGGTGTTGTCCTTTCAATCCCTTCAGTCTCAGTTTGCGGATGTGAGTGATACTGAACTTAAGAAGATGGATGCTCGTATTGTGGAAATCAGCACTGAAGTACAGACCATATCACAGAGCTGCAGGCAGCTGGATACAGGTGTGCACTGAACATGCGCTGCTGGCAAAAGATGTGTTGTTTGAACTTGTGCACCGACTGTTTGTATTTGATAAAAAGTTCATCTTTTTGCCCTCAGAACTGAAGGAGCTGAACAGCTCATTAACCACAGCGGAGATGAAGGCACAGATCCAGGAGCTGCAGGCAGAGTGCTCTGGGTACAGAGAGAGGCTGGATGAAATCAAGTCAGCTAAAAACCATGTGACCCCTGAGGAGAGGCAGAAGGTTCGAAATCACTGCGTTCTTTAATATCTGGTGATCTTTTTTACCATGGCACCAAAACCAAGTGTTAACGTTTACCAGCCCTGTGCATGATTAATGAACACAAAATGTAGTGTCAAATAAGTGCAAGTGACCGTTCATTCACCGACATGAATCTCTCCCACACTGGCCCTGGGCCATTTTTATTGTACATTAAATTGCTTTTTGTAAGCATTGCAAAAAGACTCATCTTCTAGCATCTCTGGAATATGTTTGATTCATTAGGTGAAGTTTATACAGATAATGTGGCTGTCCTGGGGCAGTCAATAGTATATTATGCTTGTTCATGTTGCTGACAAATGTATTTCTTGCCCCTCAGGTTTACAAGGAGAGAGAGACTTATGTGAAGGAGTGGAGGAAGAGGAAGAGACTGGTAATGATCCGTAAAAACATTTATTCACAACTTCAGATTCAGAATGTCGGCTTATTTTTAATGATACAGCTGTAAGGCATGCCTTTATGAAAGTGCATTCATTTCAGATTTATCTTTGTGTCCTCAACACCATGGTTTATTTATATACGAATGGAAACTGCTCTTGCACATCATGGTTTTGACTGTCACTGCCAATGGTCAACTGACCTAAAATGATACCTGTTATACTGCTACATACCTTACACTATACAGATATTTATTAAGTCTTATGTACCATAATATGAAACTCCAAGCACAGCTTTTAATTTGTCTCTTTACCTGCCAGGTTACTGATATGGTTGGAGCTATTTTGGAGGGGTACCCAAAGAGCAAGAAACAGTTTCTGGTGAGTCATTTCCTTAGAACGGGTTTTTTTGACAGCCAAACCCCTTAGAAGTAACATATTTACTTGAAGTACCCCCTGAGATTTGACTTTAATATTTCAATTACAACACATTCGCTTGTTCACGATTCTAATGTCGGTTAATGGTCACACGATATGCAAGTAAATAGATAGTGAATCTTTAACTCGTTTCAACTAATCACAAAAATGAAGAAATGTATTGCTGTTGTAAATTACAAATGTAATGTAAAAGTAAAATGAATATTTGATGATAATCATAATTTTTACACTACAAGTAACAATACTGATATTTATGTCTTAAATTCTTCACTTTTTAACGTTCAAACCCTAAAGGTTTTATTTTGCCTTAATACTATTGAAATGCTGCAAATGTCTGGCCACAAAAATATTGGAAATCATGTGACTAAATAAAGTGAACCTAGCTCAAGTGGCGTACCAAAATGCACATTAAAATTGCAGCACATGCAGAAATTAAGTTTTAATTTTACATTGGATATTACCAATTATTAGCTTTTCATCAACTTCTTACCTCAGGAGGAGGCTGGGATTGAAACAGATGAGGACCATAAAGTGACAATGCCCAACATCTGATGGAGGACTCACTGAATAAATTCAGATGCCACCAACATTGTTGCCGGGACGCCTAACCTTTGGGAAGGTTGGAAAATAAAGTAGAGGATTCTAGGACACCAAGATAACTGTTTTGTTAAAAACCAATCCTATTTATAAAAGTGTTGAGAGAGAAAGAACAAACAAGCTGTAAATAAGTTTGAACATTGTTTATTTTTCAATTAAAAAAATTATACTGATACAAAAACATTTCAACCAGATTGTTCCATTGCAGTCAGAAATGCAGAAGCACAGAGTCTAGTATAGTAGTTCAGCACGACGTAGCCTCGTTCTGTGAGCTGGCATTTCGCTCCACTGTATGGCTTAACTTGTAAAGACGTCCCTTATTCCAGCACAGGTCAAACAGTTGGTTGTACAATCATCTGTTATTTAAAAAAAGATCTCGATACCTAAAAATCTGTGTCCTGAGTAGACTCCAATTCTAATTTTCATTATGCCTTAATTAACATTCATTAAAAATATAAATAGAATTGGGCGGTCACACCAAGTGAAGCTGCTACCATGCACTGTCTTCACTGATAGCTTATGCAGCACAAAAAAATACTTCACAAGAGCTTAAACCATTAACATAAATGTAGAATAAAACATTATTGCGCTACACACAGCTGAACAAAAATTGACATAACCTGACAAACAGAGGTTTATCTTCCATTAATTGTGCGTAGACACTGCAATCTTTGGTCACATCATCCCAATGACAGTGGTTTAAAAGAGGAACTAAGATGGCTCAGCATTGCCTAACTTTAATTATATTAAAGCATGAGGGACAGCTGTTTTTGAACGTAAAAACCAACTGACAATGATGCATCACAGTGTAACTAAACGTCTCGGCTCCCCTTTCCAGCACTAGTTTGCAAAGGTGAAAATGTAGTTGTGCTTTGGAAAATGACTTGAACATGAGGTAAAGATGTTGCACTGAATGCAACATACCAAGCTTAATCATTCAAAGGCAGCTTCTGGTTTATAATGCAGCAAATTGAGACATCTCACACCTCCGTATATTTGGGTGTGAATTTGGCTGGTAAGAAAATGACAATTTGACAATTATTGCATTTCCACATTTTTTGATTGGAATCACTGCCATAAACACTTCACTATATCAGTCAATACTTGAGCAAGCGCTGCTACATCTCTTCAGAGTTCTTGAACGCACCGCAGTCCATTAGAGAGACTGTTCTTGAATGAGCTATTAGCCTGAGAGACAGACAGACAGCTTCAGTACAGCTGACCATTCACTTGCTGCAGCACAGTCACCACAAACTCTCTCAGCGTCTGTCAACAATACAGAAAAACATGGTCAGTCTGGGAGTTTTCAGTGTTTATCTAAGCCTGTGTAGGTGACTGAAAAACTGAAGCTTGCTGTCGCTTGTGTAGTGATCAGGTTGTCTACATTGGTTTGAGTAGTGTTATTAATGTTTTTATGGCACGTTTTGCATGTTTAATGCATTTCCGGGTTGTTTTGTCTTGGTCGTACGAATACATTTGAAGAGCCAGGGTTCCCACTGTCTGGGAAAAACCTGGATAGCCTAATTTTAAGTGTGATTGCTAGACTTGGAAAGTCATGTAAATTAATAAAATATTAAATCGTTGCTATATAATGTTTTACATATACATGTTTTTCTAGTTTTCACACTCTGAAATATTTTATTAGGTAGAAACTGTGAGTAAAAACTATTTTTAAAATCCCTTCTGAATCCTTATCCAGTAAATCACAAACAACTGGAAAACTGAGTCTTTAAATATTGTTGTGGGCCTTAAAGAAAAAAAAAAAAGCTGAGAACTGCAACATAGCAGATAATTCAGGTATGAACAGACCTTAAATGTGTGAGCATGTGCATGTGTGCTACCTGGGGCTTGCAGTGTTCCTCGATCCAGCTGAAGACGCAGGCAGAGAGCTCCTGAAAGCTGTTGACTGACACTGAGGCACTGAAGGACTGGAACAGAGAATCCATGATGCTCTGAAACACACTGAACTTCACCTGATCTGAAACCTGCTCGCTGCCCTGCTGAGGGTTATTCTGATGGGCCTTCACAATGTGCTCATAGTTCCTGAAACAAACCCCACAAAGTGTCCATTAGAGACAGTATCTTAAGAATTTTCTTCCTCCCTTCCTCTTAAAGGTCTTAAAGGGTGTTATCTTTCTTGGCAGAAGAGTGACTTAAGCAGTTCAAATGTTTCTGACCCCCCTTTAAATAACCGACCACTCACGTTTTCATAATTTTCAGCGCCATCACCTCCTTCCTAAGAGTGGAAACATCCTCTTCCTGCTTCTTCTTTTCTTTGTGGAGAAACTGAATGTAGTCGATTGCTGCAAACACACACACAAGTCACTGAGCTTTTCCATTCCAGAGTAAAAGAATGGCGACATGTGACAAGGAAATATAAATAGATAATGAAGGTTCTCACTCTTCTGCAGGACTGTAGCTTTACTCATCTTCTGTGTGGCCATGGCAAAGTCCGACTGCTGCTGGCATGTAGGCACTATAAACTGCAGGTCATCATAGCCTTTCTGTGGGACAGCGATCCACACACACATTTGAGTGACAGAAGTAGAACGCTAGAAGCACGGGACTGTTCTCTTTTATACGCGAGTAGCTCACGATCCAGTGTTTACAGGATCACAAAGTGACTCGGTTCACAATATATTCTGCTCCACATGAACTCATCTCTGCATGTTTTGGGTTGCGTGTAATGTGTATTTGGGAACACAACATGCGCTGACCAACTTCAAAAATTTGTAATAAAAAGCGCTCAAAAACCAGCTGTTGTCAACAAAAGAAGCTTTAAAGGATCCCTGCGATTGATTTATTTCCACCAAAACTAAAGCTTGATGAATTATTATTTTGGTATTAGTATTTAGTATTGCTATATAATCACAAGGTGTTTGGCCAAATTGAGCAGCCCTACAAACAAGCACAACTTAATAAAGCTTAATAAAAAATCATATTCACAATTTTTATCAGGGAAAAAATCGAATAAAACAAAAATAATTTGCAATTTCCCCCCACAAATTGTGCAGACCTATGTTGACAAAATCATTATTTCTCTTTGCCTTTTTTCCCCCCCCTCCAGATTTAGTCTCTTAAAATAGTATGAAATGAAAGTTAAATCAATCCAAAGACGGGCATCTTTGGCAGTTACATCTCATCTTGCAGCATATTTTTAAGGCAGCATGTCAAGTTAAACATATTTCAACATAACATAAAAAAAAAAAAAACGCATCTCATGACACTGTTCCATTTCATTGCATCAGACGGAACTGCAATGCTGCCGCCCTGAACTGAAAGTCAGAGTACAGCTGCTGTCAGAAAAGCAACTGAACCACACCTTAACACCCAAAACACCACCATAACCTATTGTAATATTACAAATGGAATATTTTGAAGTTTGAATGTAATCAAGTCAAGTAATTACTGTGCTTTTATGATTGATTATTGCGGTCACTTATGTAAGCTACTATATTTTCTGTCTTTGTTTTCCCTAAAACAATTGGCTCTTCTCACTCTTACCTTGATGGCATCTCTGCGTTTCTGCTCTGCCTGTGTGTGTGCCTGTCTCCTCCGATCTTTATACGACTCCTTATAGGGCGTCTCATGTCTGTTGTCACTGTCTTCATCATCTAAACCAAAGGGATGAACAGTATGTTAGCAAGACTGTATCTTGATGTCTGTCTTTAAAGTTGCAATAATCAACACATATTTCCTTTTATATTGTGACGTACAGCTGAGTGTAACATAATTGAAAAAGAAAACAATATAGGCCATGGACTTGGTTCTTTGCATCAGAGGCAGATGATTGGGAGCCTGCAGGAGCAGGGATTAAATGCTTGGAAGGGTCTGGCATACGTATGCATGGATTTAATTGTTCACAATTAGATCGAACACATGCATTTTAGAAAACAGATGGGTGAATTTTGTCTTTTTCATGACAGGGAAACGATGACCATTTTAGAGTAAAGGTTATAAAATATTGGCCATGTTTGATATTAGATGATTGAGATTAGTATCATCACCTGTGTTTGGTACTGAAGAGGCACTTGTGGATCCAATGCTGTTGGCTCTTGACACCAAACTTCCTTTGTGAGCACTCTCGGCAAAGAAACCTAATGATATGGACATTTGGACATATGGTTACTTCAACATTTGACAGCACAATGTAGTTTCAGTTTTGTCAAGTCCACCCTATGGGTTAATTATATTTGTATAACTGCAAATCCAACCTTCGTCTTGGCATATAAACTGGAGAAAAAAACAACAACAAAAACAGTAGTTGAGACTCTCAGTAATATTTTATAGCTCAGGGTACTCACTGTGATCGAAGCCGTTGTCGCTGAAGGTGCCGTCCGTCTGCTGAGACATGGTGATGGGTGATGTAAAAAAAAAAAAAACAGAAGAACAGTCAAAGCCAGCCAGACTAAACATTCAGAGACCAGCAGCCAACTGATGATCACATATGCAAACTGAGCCTGACATGTCCTGCCTTACCTTTATCTAGGACACCTCTAACTCCCCACTGTGATGTCCCAAATAACCCCTTTAAAAGGTGACATTTAATCTATATGCATAATCAGTGGTCGAATTGTAAACATTTTTTAAGGGGGATGGTGGGGCGGGGGATCCTGTGTGATTACAAATTAATCAATTTTTTTTAACAAAAAATAAGCTTTATAAAGTGATCTGTGGTTTATGAGCTGTTTTCCTTGTGTCAAAAGGTATGTCAGAATGTAGGTTAAACCAATGCACACACACACACAATTTATGTGTGTCTGTGTGCCAAATGACTGAAATGATGCCCCTTGTGTGGCATGTTGACAAAAAATTATATAATATTTTTGGGGGTATTTTTTGACAATAACGATGATTAATATTTTGCTGAGTGCTGGTTTAGGCCTGTCATGGATAAAGGAATATGACACTAAAACCGCCAGTAGGTGGCGGCAAGTATCTGTTTTAATGAATGATTCATTGAATCCTTCAATCAAACGATTCTTTCAAAATGGCTGATTCAATTAGAATCGAAGCAAGTTGACTGTCTTTATGAATGAATCATTGAATAATTGGCTCACTTGATTCGTTCAAAAAGAGATTCATTCATGAAAGTAACACTGCATGCTCCGAGACACAGGGCAGATCTACTCCAGCTTTGTTTGCAAGTATTTCATTTGCAAAACAGGAAAAAAGACTAAATGTGTCTAAAATATAACTCACTCACTTAACTTATTGACTGTTGAAGGCTGTATAAAATAACTAAATAGGCTAAAGATAAATAATAAAAACTCACAGGGATATTTGTCTTTCATTATTTTAATTATCTTCGTTCTAATAGACTTCATCATGCAATGAATGCTTTTGGACTCGAGATGTTTGTTTTTTCCACACTTCATAACAGTGGTGTAGGCAGAATTTAATTTTTGGGCGGGCCAAAAGTGAGCGGGCACCCATTCCCAATCCCCCCCTCGAAAAACTTCCATCTCATTTTCTCCGCCAACTTCAAAATCATCCTACATCACTGTTTTACCTTTTTTTGTAAAGGGCGTTTGACCTTCTTTGCATGTTCACTTTGTAAACGCTGGGGTTGGTGTTGGGTCATTCTTGAACGATTCGTTCATTTTGAATGAATCTTTAATGTGACTTGGGAAGAACGAGTCGTCTCGGGGAGTGATTCGTTCAGTCGCGCATGCGCAACATCCTATAGGTTCTGTACTGGAATTAGTAGTTCACCTGGCTTGAGTCTTTGAGTTTTTCCGAGTCGTTCGTTCATCACGTGACAGCCCCATAAGCTTTAACCAAAGGGGTCATATGATGCGATTTCAAGTTTTCCTTTCTCTTTGGAGTGTTACAAGCTGATTGCATAGATAAGATCCCTGAAGTTGCAAAGACTAAAGTCTCAAAACTTACACCAAATAATGATCTTTAAAAAAGCATCATATGACCCCTTTAACCAATGCAGTCTGAGCCGGAAAGAGAATTGATTAGTTCATCTCTCGAGTCTTCGGGTTTGAGTCGTTCATTCATCACGTGACAGCCCCATAAGCCCAAACCCGAAGACTTGTCAGATAAGAGGTGAGGTGAGCTAATCATAGACTGAAGACCCAGGTAAACAATGAATTAATCTTTTCTGTTTCTTATAGCAGTTTTGTATTGTTTGTAGTGTGATCAACGTTTGCGTAAGTAGTAGACGTATTAGGGAAGTAACACGTAACATTTTAATTATGTTTTGCTAAAATGAACGAAATGACTCGAAAAAAGATTTGTTCATTTTGCTGAACGAGACTCAAAAGTCCGAGTCGGTAAAATTATCCGAACTTCCCATCACGAACTTCTGCAGCGATGTAGTTCGATTTTGAAGTTGGAGGAGAAAATGAGATGGGAGTTTTTCGACGTACCCCAACTGTATGAACAGGCATTATGAGATTTTTGGTTTCAGTGGGCGGAGCACACATGAATATTCATGAGTTTCCCGGACATGCTCGTGGAACCAGGTGGAACTGAGAATTTAATGGGTTTAATGGAATATAAAAAAAAAAAAGGTAAATATATTTACAGCGTTGCACAAACCTATGCCTAAACTACATTTGTTCATCATTTTGTAACAGTTTATAATGTTTTTATTAGTTTGCACGTTTTGTGCAGTCATCACTGACTGAATGATTGCAGACATCCAGCACACTTAAGCTAGTTGTAACTTACTCTGATTTCAGTTCACTGTGCTGTAGCTTGCAATGCTTTAAAACTGTGTCTGTTGTTAGTTATGTTGAGTACAACAGCTGAAATAAACTTGTATCTGTGGATCATTTTTCATCTATCCTGTTAGACTACATTTACAAAATGAATAGGAATCTAAGACCACACACACAAGCATTAAAGTGTTCCTTTAATTTTAAAAGTAAAATTTCGGATTAAACAAAATTGTATGGACAAAAGTTTAAAAAGTAGCCTACATTTGGCACACTGTAAATGAGAAAACAAATACTTCACAGCTTTTTATGGAATGGAATAAGAAACTAATTTCATGTTAAAAATAATTTTATTAACAAATGTTCATAAGTGTGCTTGTTTTTATATGATATATGATATATACACAATTCTTCTTCATGTTCTTTCTTCATGTTCACCAACTGCATTTAGGCTATCAGATTAAAAATATTAAAAAAACATTAATATTGTGAAATAAGTTTACAATTTAAAAAGTCCCCCCCCACTCATGAATATTCATGTTTGCCCCTCCCACTGAAACCGAAAATCTCGTAAGACCGGAAAACACAGAGTTCACGCAGAGCTACACAAGACAAGCGTTTGAGGTTAAAAAGTATATCAATTGTAACTTTTTGTTGTTGTTTGTTTTTTAGAAAATAACCGATCGTTTCGCTAGATAAGACCCTTCTTCCTTGGCTGGGATCGTTTAGCTGCATTTAAACTACATTTGGGAAGTTCAAACTCGGGGGCAGCATAGAAGTCCATTATTTGGAGAGAAATCCTCAAATATTTTCCTCAAAAAACAATTTCTTTACGACTGAAGAAAGACATGAACATCTTGGATGACAAGGGGGTGAGTACATTATCTGTACATTTTTGTTCTGGAAGTGAACTAGGCTAACGTTACTCCTTTAATCTCAGTCAATTCACCAGAAACAGACAAACTGCTTTCCGCATCTGATGATGAGACGTACGAATCTATATGCAGATCACGGTATATAACTGTTTTAAATTAGCCTACTCTTAATATTTCTCTTGTGGCCCGAACATAGGCTAGTGAAGAAACTTATAGGCTATTTTGTGTTAAACAGGTTGTTTTTGGAAAGTCGGTGCTTGAAGTTAAGCTGCTCTTCATTTTTATTGATGATTTCAGTGTTAATTTTAATTATAGGTATATAATTCATTACATCATAAACATGTCTTGAAAGACCTTTTTAAGATTTTCAATGAGGAGTAATAGCCTACCTCGCAGCGCGTCAGTTATGCGGGGATGCGCTATGAAATTATTGCGGGGCAAATTAATTGTAATATTAATTTAATAAAATAAAAGTAACCTAATAATAGGCGTAAGAAGAATGTAACAGGCCTACATTAATTGGAAATGCCAAATGCTCTTAATATTGCCAACAATTAGATGGGCCTAACTAAAGTGTAGGCTATACAATTATTTTATTCAGAAATGTCATGTTTATGATTTTTTTTTTATGAATTCGTTATTTAAATTATTAGGCCTACTACATATTCGGAAACAGGTGCAGTTAGTCATCTTTGTGAGGAAGACAACAGCTGGTTGACAACAGCTACGCCCTTGCTTCGTAATGTATGCTAGAACAGGGCGAACATTAGCCTACTGACTCTGAATGGGACGCATCCTCTCTCTTAGATTAGTAGCCTATCGTCCCTCGTCCTCGCAGTCACACATATACGTTATAAGTTATGTCAAGGAATGTATTCAAACTGTAATCAGGTTAATAACTTAAATCTTATTGTGCTGTCGACGAAAACATGCGTGAGCTTGTAATATTAATACTGAGCTCTGATCGGTCAATCGCCGTTATTCAGTTTATAATGTATTAAACGTAGAAAATATTAATAATAATTCATTTGTCAGATAAGATTTACATAAAACACAACATTATTAATCTAAAGGGGGTGGTGGTTTTACAGAGGGGATGCTTTTTGCCATTTTTTTCCAACCAGGGGCATGCCATCCCCCCTCAATTCGAGCCCTGTGCATAATGTGTCTCCAAACTCTCAGACTGAGCAACCACTGTCCGATTGTCAAGCTGTAATTACAGTCGGTCCAACTGAGGGCATATTTTATTATTTTATTCGTTGCATATGAATGCGGCAGTAAGTCTGAATGCACTGGAATAGCAGCATAAATATAAAGAAGGCACAAACAAAGAGAACCAGAGTCTTGCTGTCTTGGCAGTATTTTGGGGGACCGTCTGTCACTTGGGGGGAGTCGATTCGGTCGTTCGAACGCGCCTTCGATGCCCGAAAATTCTGTCTAGTGAGGCAGTTTAAATACGTTTTGAAACAGCCAGAAAGAGTCTGTGTAGCAAACAAACAGGCTAGCTTAGCGGATTCAAGTCTTACACGTCTGTTATAGCTCCCATTCTAACATTAACAACATAAACAGTCCGTTTAAGCGCAGAAACGTTTTCGGCCGTGTTTTTGTAGTGACTTGTCTAAATTACCGCTAAATACACTGCATTTTAAGACCACGATAATGTGGGAAGCAGGGTAATTGTTCTTTTGACTTGCTGAACTTTACAACTAACGTTAGCCAGCTGAGCTAGAGAGTGAAACCAACCACTGCAGACCTACACAGATAAACAGTAACACACTTTACGAGGGCGATTTGAGAAGATATGGCTGTTTAAAATCAACGGACCGTCTTTAACTGAATAGTTTTCCTTACTTTGAGCCAGGGATCCTCCGGCGACGCGCTGTTTTCCGTCATTTTGCAATAAACAATGACGGGATGTTACGAGCTGCGCCCCCTATTGGCCATTATCTGGTCTGACCTCTAGAGACTCATCCTCCAGTCTGTCGTTCTTTCTGCTGACTACTGACTGTGAATTCCGATGAAATCTATAAGTTCATTGTTAATATATTGAGCCATTCGATCCATCCATTTCTTTTTTATTTTACTCATTGCATTGTCTATGTATTCTTATAGCCTATACAATACACATATACCTTACACTGATCATCTCCTATATGAGTCAAGATAAACATCAATGTGTGGTCATTTATTCCACATGGTGGTGCTCTAAGAGAGTTTATCAAACATCAAACTGAGAGTTGATGCTCATATATCTCATGGTAATGGGATAATCTATCTATCTATCTATCTATCTATCTCTCTCTCTCTCTCTCTCTCTCTCTCTCTCTCTCTCTCTCTCTCTCTCTCACTCACTCACTCACTCACTCACTCACTCACTCACTCACTCACTCACTCACTCTCACTCTCTCTCACTGTCTGTCTGTCTACAGAGCCCTATAGATTTATTGTAATTTCTGTGTAAATATAAACCTTAAAGTCTTGGGTTTGAAAAAGCTATTTATGACTAGCAGAACACAACACTAAATAATAAATGAAACCAATGATAAACATTTAATAAATTAAAATACATTGAATAAAAAATAGATCAGTTATATGTAGTTATAAAACAGATTTGATCATCTGTAAAATAAATAGATAAATAAAATAAAATAAAATAAAAATGCCAGTGTGGTTTTATTGTGTTCAGTTGTCCAACAGCTATTACAAAGGTAACACTTTACAATAAGGTCCCATTAGCTAATGTTAGTTAATGCATGAGCTAACATTAGCTATCAATCTGCAATATATTTGTTACAGTATGTATCAATACATTTATTAGTTAATCAAAATACAACTGTTCTTGTTAGTTCAGGTCCATTAAATAATATGAACAGAGACACTTTTTGATTTTAATTATGTATTAGTAAACGTTAAAAAATTAACTGAGATTTGTAAATGCTTTAGGTCATTACAAAAGTATTATGATATTAGGCCAGAATTCACAAAAATAATCTTCTAGAGAAAACAAGTAGGCTTGTGACAACAGGCCCTGATCAACAGCATCAGTGTCATACAGTACATACAAAGGCTCAACAGGAGGGTCAAATGTTGCTCCCTCCACACCTAAAAAGAAATGTGCCCCTGCTAAACTACCCATGCCTCCTGAGGAAGAGCTTGAAGAACGCTTCAGTGTGGTTTTGGTGAGTTTTTTTATACACAGACATGTAAATATTAAATATCAACACAGCAAAAGCAGCTAATCTTGGCACTTCCTGTTCTGATTAAAAACAACAGCCGTGTTAGGAACTACAACAGTATTAAATTCTCTGTTTTTGCATTTTGGAAACATAAATACTAGCTGTGGGGAAAAAAACCCAGAGGAACTTCTTGATGCATAGACAGTGGGCACAACATATTAAAAGGATAATCAGACACAATATGAACATTTCAAAGCAAATGCAATCTTCCACCTGAAATGAAAAATGAAGTAACATTTGGAAAAAACCTTCTGACTTAATACAATCTGATTACTGTCACTATAGTTCCACATGGGCTATTGGTATAGGAAATGGTAGTGACGGGATGACAAATTAGGCAACTTCTTAAGAGAAGTCATAAGACAACAAGAGGTCCTATATTCTCTGTCATGACTGACCTTTGTTTCGTCTTTTGTTTCAGTGCAAGACACCACTGTCAGTTGGTTATACTCCTAGATATGCCATCCCGTTTATTGAGCAATTTCTTGTATCATTTAATTGATTCCTAATGGAAGCTCAGTTATCTTCCATTTGGTTCCACTTCAGCAACACATTATGTAAGCCTGTTTCCATCATAGAATGAATATTGTTACTTCTCATGAATGCAAATTTATATGTCTCAACTGTGACTTTATATCTCACAGTATGACTTTATTTCTTGTTTTAACTTCTCAAAATAACATTTTATTTTTACTCAAATAAAAAAAAGCACTTTCATATAACAAATGGCCATTTGATCCTTCTCAAAATACTCTTATTGGTCTATGCACAACCAGGCTGTCCCTGGCCCCGTGATGAGTTGGACCCACTAAACTCATTTTTACAATGCTCAGAGGATGGGGGAGTTTGGGACAATCCCTGCAATTTTGTCCTTGACACCATAAATTCAAGCAACTACTCTGATTAGATTACCATTGTATGTTAAAGAATAGGTGCATCACACATGGTAACACTTCACAGTGATGTCCTCATTGCAGGCTACTGCCATATGCCCTGCACTGTGCATTTGGTGCATTATATATAATATCAGCTTAATCTAGTCTGCACTTTATTCACTCTCTTGAACCAGTAGACCACAGCTAGTCCCCCACCCTACCCCACCCACCCCGCTCTCTGTTCTTTCAGTAACCGCTCAATGTGTTTCTAAATGCGCTTTCGCTCTTTGTGCACACAACCTTAAAAAAAAAACATGCTCTAAGCGGAAACGTCTTAGTGCTTCAGGAGGAAACACCCAAGAACACAACGTTTCTACAGTAAACTTTACACCTTTTTTTTTTTTTACAACACACCCTCTTAATTTGGTTGACAGGTGCAATTCCAGATGTGGTGTGAAAGTACAAAACATAAGGCTAATGATGAATTTTTGTTGCTAATAATGTTTAAATGCAAGACATGTAGCAACTCAGCCCCGTGCTATCTTTTCAGGAAGTCACATTGTGTCAGACTGATGACACACTGCATATGATCTTAAGTAGATAAATATAAACGTAAGGGGAAATTAATGTATGAGATATGCACATCATATAATAGTTCACTCAAAAATGAAAATTGTGTCACCATTTACTCACCCTCATGTCATTTCAAACCTTTATGACTTCTGTGAAACAACAGTGGACCCCATAGACTTTGATTGAGACATTCTTTTTTTCAAAATTTCCACAAAAACCATCTAGGTTTGAAATGAAATTAAGGTAAATAGTAGCCTAAATGATGACAGGATTTTCATTTTTGGCCAAACTGTCCCTTTAACAATCTGAAGTAGACTAAACTAGGAACAATAATTGTATCATACACATTTTATAATGTAGACATTTCCCATGTCCATTCAACCATTGTCTTGCATCAGATATAAATGGTGATTATCAATGTTACAAATTCATGATGTAAATGGCAAATCAGATATTAACTGAAACTGAAGAAAAAGTTAACCAGTTGCAATTTACACGTGTTCATGCCAGCCTCTTTCATATATCATACTCAGACTTTGCCATGCTATTAGGATTCAGATGTTGCCATCAACATCACAAACCAATTAGTATTATAACACTGACAAACTTCTTCTTAAACAGTTATAGCCTGGTTCTAGGTCACGTACCACTGGCGGCAGTATCCAGTATTATGGATGTAATCTGTCTATTGAAATCCAGTATTTTGTGATGGATGTGCATGGTGCACGTCAACCAATAAGAATAGCAATATGTTTCTTTATTAGTGTATTTATTCACAAAGCTTCAAACATTGAGACTGCAGTCATTAGAATCCTGCTAGCATGTTTGTACAGTTCTGCTAGAGAAGATTTCACCTGATCTCCCGGTTACAGTGATGAACCTCTAATTTCTCTTCTCAGAGCTCCATGAATTTGCCTCCTGACAAGATGAAGCTTCTGAGTCAGTACGACAATGAGAAGAAATGGGAGCTTGTCTGCGATCAGGTAAGATACTACTATTGTCATCTGTCAATCAACTTCAACATTGTTTTTTTTTTAAATGGCAGCAGAGTAGAACTGAGAGTATCTTGATCGTTTCTCTCGTTTAGTTCTCATTTAGAGAGTGAGACATTATTCATATTGAAATACGTTGTCATTGCATTTTTGAGCAGTTTTGCATTTTCATAATACTTCATGTCTGCAGTGTAGGTGTGACCTTTGAAAGGAAGTTATCTGCTAGACTAGATTTAGACACACCAGAAGCATAAAAGAGATCTTTACACTGTGACACAAATACAAAAACCAAACTTATACAAGTTATATGAGGACTTTAACCAGGGTTCATATGTCCTTTAAAGTTTATTTATTTGTTGCCATTTTTACATTTTCTTTCGTTTTGGGGTGTATACGGCATGATATGTAGCCATGGCCAATTTAGATAAGCGCCTGAATGGTGAAAAGAAAAAAAAAAAACATTTAATGGAAATGAAATAATATATATACACACACGTATATGTACAGGTGCATCTCAAATTAGAATGCCGTGGAAAAGTTCATTTATTTCAGTAATTCAACTCAAATTGTGAAACTTGTGTATTAAATAAATTAAATGCACACAGACTGAAGTAGTTTAAGTCTTTGGTTCTTTTAATTGTGATGATTTTGGCTCACATGTAACAAAAACCCACCAATTCACTATCTCAACAAATTAGAATACTTCATAAGAGCAATAAAAAAAACTAAAATGTTTAGTGAATTGTTGGCTTTCTGGAAAGTATGTTAATTTACTGTACATGAACTCAATACTTGGTAGGGGCTCCTTTTGCTTTAATTACTGCCTCAATTCGGCGTGGCATGGAGGTGATCAGTTTGTGGCACTGCTGAGGTGGTATGGAAGCCCAGGTTTTTTTGACAGTGGCCTTCAGCTCATCTGCATTTTTTGGTCTCTTGTTTCTCATTTTCCTCTTGATCTTGACTTGAGATCCTCTATGGGGTTCAGGTCTGGTGAGTTTGCTGGCCAGTCAAGCACACCAACACCATGGTCATTTTGGGAACTTTTCCACGACTTTCTAATTTATTGAGATGCACCTGTATGTGTGTGTGGCTGTACATACACATATGTAGTTGGTTTTTGGTGTTTGGCTTAGTGTTATGTTAGAATCATTATTATACTCATACCTTTTTGTTCTTTTAATATTTTTGAATTGTTTTTAGCTTTATTTTTATTTATTTATAATTTTTTTCATTTAAATATTTTAGTTTTGAAATGTTGTTGTATGCATTTGTCATTTTTATTTAATTTATTTCATTTTCTTAAATGTGTGTATATATGTAGTATTTATAGAGTTTTAGCTTTTAGTTTTAATTACTTTTTCTTATTTGTAAGTCGCTTTGGATAAAAGCGTCTGCTAAATGACTAAAAGTAAAGTAAAAGTAATTCATCATGTTAATCATACATATCATGTCATACATACATATCAGGAGAAAATGTTAAAGGCCTTTGAAAATGTTTTAAAGCATCTCTAGTGTTAATTAAAAATGCTTAAAATGTAAATGATCTAACCTGATTTTCTTGTTCTATGTAGTGACAATATAATTAAAATACAGGTTGAGGCATTTGTAGTGATCAGTTTCAGAGAATGCATAGCCTTTAAGAAGGGAAAAAAACAACAGTGGTTGACAGAAATGACTCTTTATGTAAATTATGTTAATTTAAGTAGGCTTACAAAGACACAATGGAAAGTTTGGCAAAGGAATTGTATTTTTATGTTTGTGTATATTTTAGTTTAATTTTTTAATGACAGTAAAAAGAATGATGCAAGTCTGTGGTTGAAGGAGATGATGTAAATGCTGATAGTGAGCAGACATCTCAACGGGGGAAAAGACAGAAAAAGGGGAAAATAAGAGCAGCAGTATGAGGTCAGACTCTTAAGGTGGTGAACACACTTCCTGTGTTAATATTTGCATCTCTATGACAACTTTGGGATGCAGGCTTTGTAGCTATGCATGTACAGAGAGCACAGGTTGTCATAGCAACGAATGCACATAACTAAAATGTATTTCTTACCATGGGCATAATGTAGGCTGTATACCACCTTCAGGGAAAATATGTATTAATACAACTGAAGAAACGTCAATAAATGTCACATATCTCTCTCATACATATACAGTAGAGTATCTGAGATGGATTTACAGTAACATTTAAAAGTTTGGGATCAGTAAGATTTTTTATTTATATATTTTATTTTTGTAAGGAATTAATTTAAAAGTGGCAGTACATAAGGTTTCTGTTTCAAATAAATGTAATTCTTTTGAACTTTCTATTGATCAAAGAGATATATCTTGGTTTACACAAAAATATTAAGCAACACAACTGTTCTCAACATTGATAATTTAAATGGTAATAATATTTCACAATATTACTCTTTTTACAGTATTTTAATCAAATAATTAATTATGAGCACAAGACACTTATTTTAAAAACATTAAAAAGACTTACCAACCCCAAACTTTTGAATGGTATTATTCAACCTTATTATTTTATACGACCAAATTGCGTTTAAATATCTTCTACACGCCTCCATCATCACAGATGGAAATCAGTCCATTTATTGTTCCTCTTTCTCCTAATGTCTAATAGGAGCGATTTCAGGTGAGAAACCCTCCCTCGGCTTATCTGACTAAAATCAAGATGGCTTGAGAGTGAGTAAATCATGGGGTAATTTTCATTTTTGGGTGAACTATCCCTTGAAGAACTGCTCACTGAAAGGTTTTTATAGGAACCCAAATCGGTTCTTCTATGCCATTAATGTGAAAAGCCACTTTTTTTCTTTTGTAAGAGTGCAGTCCGAAGGACATTTAAAAAATCTAAAGAACCCTTTGTAGAATGGAAAGGTTCCACGGATGTTAAATGAAAACATAGATGCTTATAAAGAACCTTTATTTTTAAGTGTGTAGTCTCTCAGTGGATGAAAATGACCTAATTTCTGTGCTGATGTTTCTCAGGTTTGAAGTGGAATCTGTGGAAAACGGTGGTTCTGTATCAGACAAGAGGAGGTTGTCAGAGAGATCAGTGGAGGATCTAGCCAAAAATGTCAACCATTCTCCCACACACGGCATGAATAGAGCGGCACGTGCACTCACTGTCCGGTGAGTCATCATTACAACACACCCCAAAATACAGGGATCGCTGCTCAGTATAAGGACTAAAATTCTAATACGTGTACTCCAACACTTTAAACTCAGTGTTCATCTTTTGTTCATTCTGTGCCTTTCCACATTAGAATAAGCAACTTGACCCATGGCAGAAAAACTATGCGACATGCCCGATTGGCCAGCCAAAGAGATGACGTTCACCTCTGTATTATGTGTCTGCGCGCTATCATGAATTATCAGGTATGTTGGCGTGAGGAACACATTCAAACACTAGCCTCATTACTCAAAGGTCATTTTAGGAGAACTTTATGTAACTCACCTTTATTTTTTTTTAACAGTCTGGGTTCAATTTAGTCATGACTCACCCCAGATGCGTCAATGAAATTACACTCAGTCTCAACAACAAAACCCCCAGGTGAGTGTTTTTTTTTGTGGGATATAGGGGCTGTGTGTTTGTAATTTATTTAAATATACTGTTCATAGGACTAAGGCTCTTGTGCTGGAGCTGTTGGCTGCAGTGTGTCTGGTTAGAGGAGGACATGACATCATCATCTTGGCCTTTGACAACTTTAAAGAAGTAAGATGACTAGCCTTCTACTCATGTACAAACACTTTTTTATCAAATGGGATGTCCTCATAAAATGTTTCGGTCAGGTTTTGCAGAAGGTCAAGATACATTTTCTTCTGCCCAGGGCCAGATGTATTGCTTAAAAACGCAAATAACTCTTTTTTAATCTTTTACCTCCTCTCAGTGTACTCCAAAATCATTCGAATGCTGATTTTCTGCTCAAAATCATGTATTATTATTATTATTATTATCAAAGCTGAAAACAGTTGTGCTGCTTAATGTTTTTGTGGACACTGATACATTTTTTTCAGGACTCATTGATGAATAGAAAGATCAAAAGGACAGCATTTATTTGAAATATTAATCTTTTGTAATATTAGAAATGTCTTTACTATCACTTTTAATCAATTTAATGCCTCCTTACTGAAAAAAATATTAGTTTCTTTAAAAATAAAAAAACTTTAAATGGTAGTTGTGACAAATATAAAAAATTACGCTACCAATACTACAAAAATACCTTTCAGACACAAGTAAAAGGTCTAGACATTTTGTAGCACAGGATATTACAAGTGTCATGCTCAACACTCACCTCTAAGCTTGGCCCACCTTCTCACAGGTGAGTGGAGAGAAGAACCGCTTTGAGAAGCTAATGGAGTACTTCATGAATGACGACAGCAATATAGACTTCATGGTGAGCTTTGATGTCAATAACATCTGTTATCAGTTATGATTTACATAACAGTTAGCCTGCTCGCTATTTTTCTTTTTATGTGTGTAATATGAATGATTTTAAAATCTATCCATTTGATCTTTTTCTTCACAGGTGGCTTGCATGCAGTTCATAAACATTGTGGTCCACTCCGTGGAGAACATGAACTTCCGTGTGCATCTTCAGTATGAGTTCACCCAGCTGGGTCTAGACCAGTACTTAGAGGTAAGTCTAGTGTACAGGACAGATAAATACATTATAAAAGCAAAACGAACATCTTGCACATAATTAACACAGGATTGGATCCTAGATTTGAGATGTTTTATATGCAGCGTGTATTCATGAAGTTGCACATTATCCTTGTAATGTAACACAACTGTTTTTCTTTGTGTGTGTGTGTGTGTGTGTTTCTGCAGTCCTTAAAGGAGATGGAGAGTGAGAAGTTGCAAGTACAAATCCAGGCGTACTTGGATAATGTGTTTGATGTTGGAGCTCTGCTGGAGGATGCAGAAAATAAAGGGGAAATAATGGAGCATTTAACAGAACTGCAGGAGACCAATGCACAGGTTAACTATACTCTATGGACACAAATACATTTGCACATAATCATCTACTGCATAGCACACATACCTCATGTTGCAGGTAGGCTGTACTGTTCCTCATAAGTGCGTGTGTATTCTTGTGTTGTAGCTGAATGCCAGATTGCAGGAATATGAGAATGGAGCACTGGAAAAAATGGCAGAACTAGAACAACATCTAATGCAGGCCACTAAAGAGTCAGCACTGCTTAAGGTAACCCACTGCATTTTCCTTTCGTTGCATACTATCCATACTATATTCTATTAGTATTCAAGATTAGAAGTAGTGTGTCTCAGGGTTATTATATAACAATTAACTATCTCCCTGTAGCCATCCGAACAGTGCATTTTCTTCCTTTTTGCCAATATATGCTTAAATCTGCTTTATTTGAACAGGTGATGGCTTATTTTCTTTTTCTTTTGAGTAAGTCAAATGTTTCATAGCATTGTTTCCAAATTTGTACATTGATTTATTTGTTCTTTAATGCCTTTAAAGTGATTTTACGTACATCACTTTTGTTAACCCATGATTGTTTTGAATTTATAAATTGTGATTTATAAATAAAGAAAAACTAAAATTAAAAACATTATATATATATATATATAAATATAAACTGGATGTAGTAAAATGACTATTAATAAAAAAAAAAAAATTGTTTACTTAAGATGCACAATTGTCAGAGAAACTTGTCAGAGAATGTATCTAATTATGTTTATTTGTTTTTAATTTGAATTTAATTAAAAATAATTCAATAATTCAAGATATTCTTTGAAAACTTTTTATCTTATGAAAATAAATTGATTTTATTTGAGATATTTAGATGTAAAGTATGTTTAGGTTTAATTTTTGAAATCCTGTTTGGAGAGTTTTTCCAGTGATGTGAGTGCTTTTGTTTTGATTTAGTTTTTTTTAGGCATTTTTACTAGAAATTAGACCAAACACATAGTCATATTAAAGTTTTTTTTGCAGCTCATATACGGTACTTAAGCATGCATATCCATGCAAAGTGCAGTACATACATTCTTAGAATAATAATAGGAATATCAAAATTGGGAATCAATCATTGTCTCTAACCTTTACATGTGTGTGTAACAGGAGAGCTTGAGAGAGTCCTGTGCCCAAGTGAGCACTTTGCAGCAGAGAGAACGGGAACGAGAGATTCAGAGAGAGAGAGAAAGAGAGCAGGAGCGTCTGTCACAGCCCTCACAGGTGGACAGAGAAAGAAACAGAGAGGTGAGTGGAAAGGAGTCCAAACTAGAGGTGAAGCTGAAGGAACTGGAGGAGAAAGGCTTAGTCCGACTGGAGCGCACAGCCTCTGGAAGCTTGGACATCGAAGTGATTCCAGTCACCGTAGAGAAAATTGTCACTCAAACAGGTAGGAGCACTTGTGCAAAAGTTCTCCTTCTGCTTCTGGTAAACTCAAAATGTTTACCTTTAGCTGGTTACATTGATATTAACACAACATCTGTTTAATGTTCATAGTGACTGTATCAGATCCAGCTTCACAAGCGCCGTCCCCTCCAGTCGCAGCACCGCCTCCACCTCCTCCACTACCTGGTGCTGCAGCTCCCCCTCCACCTCCTCCTCCACCACCACCTCCTCCTCCTCCTGGAAGTGGACGTATTCCACCTCCCCCTCCTCCTCCCCCTCCTGGCGGAGGTCCACCACCACCCCCGCCCCCACCTGGCTGTGGACCGCCACCCCCTCCAGGAGCTCCTCCTGCCCCTGGGGCTGAAACAGGTGAAGGGACTAAACGTTTCACAATTAAAGAAATAATCATATAGACATGCAACCAGAGCTGAGTGACCATACATCAATCTTTTTCATCCTTTCACACAGGACCAAAGGGACGTAAACCAATTCAACCAAAGTTCAAGATGCCTCTATTGAACTGGCAGGCGTTGAAGCCCAATCAAGTGACGGGAACGGTGTTTAGCGAGCTGAATGATGAACAACTCTTAGGGGTAACAGCAAAGAAATCCTTCAAATGCACCCAAAATAAACCTGTATGACTTCTGCAAAACACAAAATAAAATATTTTGAAGACTGTTTCTTTGAATAGTTTGTTTTCCTTTCTTTTTTTGTTCATATAATGCAAGCCAGTGAGGTACAAAATTACTTTGGAACACATTGATTTTCACTATATGGATGAAAAAAATATTTTAATTTGTGTTTCACAGAAGAAAGAATGTCATACAGGTTCGGAACATAGAGGATGAGTAAATGAATTTACATTTTTGTTTTTTTTGAGTTATCTCTTTAAATAATTGATTCTGTCCATTAATCTATTACACTCTCTGTCTCAGGAGCTGAATATGGATGTATTTGCAGAGCAGTTTAAAACCAAGGCTCAAGGTCCTCCAGCAGCTCTCTCTAAGCTCAAGGTTAAGGTTGCTGAGAAGGTACCCAGTAAGGTGTCCCTGCTGGAGCCTAACAAAGCCAAAAACCTTGCTATCACTCTCCGCAAGGGAGGCATGAGCCCCACCGACATCTGCACAGCCATTGAGAGGTCATTTAAAAAATGTGAACAGCAAACTGCACCAAAATAAGCTTTAAACCAATCTGAACCAGCATGGAAACTCTCTTCTCTCTGTCTTGCTCTCAGATATGATCAGCAGTCTCTGAGTCTCGACTTTCTGGAGCTTCTGGAACGTTTCGTCCCATCGGAGTATGAGATGAAGTTACTCCAGAACTACGAGAAGGAAGGGCGGCCACTAGAGGACCTGAACGAGGAGGACCGTTTCGTGGTCCGCTTTGGTAAAATCCCACGCCTTGCTCAGCGGATCAACACCCTCACTTTCATGGGCAACTTCCCAGAGAGCGTGAAACGTCTGCAGCCGGTCAGTTCACATCACTCTTTGGCCGTTTTACCTGGTATAATTAATATGTTTTATTCAAAAAATCATTATTTTTCTCCACCTGTTTCCATAGCAATTAGATGCAATCATTGCAGCTTCCGTGTCCCTCAAATCTTCATCGAAGCTGAAGAAGATGTTAGAGGTGAGTAGACCTCATTTGTGCTTAAAGGTATGTATGGTGTGCTCCTTCAATGCAGCTCACTTATCAATCTCCTGGTTCAGATCATCTTGGCTTTTGGGAACTACATGAACAGCAGTAAAAGAGGAGCAGCGTATGGGTTCCGTCTGCAGAGCCTTGACCTGGTGAGTGAGTTTGTAGATTGTAACTTTAAGGCTCATGTTTTTGTTAAGCAGGACTGAAGTGTTATGTATGCATTGTAAATAACAGCAGAAAGTTACAGGTCCAGGTGAGAGTTTTGGGAAGCTCTCTTTGTATTAGTTATGAGAGACCTTTCATGTAGAGGCCTTTGATGCAGAAACAAAGATTGAAACTTTGCATGGGAATGAAAACTTTGCAAGCTAATCTTCTGTAGCTGAAATTTTCTATAAATTCCTTTTACATTTACATTTTCCATTGTTTTCCAGGTTTTTCAAATGTTTCAGATTACTCCCCCCCCCACCGCATCTTTTTTAATGTATTTTGTTGACGAACTCAAAAACATCATTAACATGAAATGAAAAAAAAAAAAACTAATTATACACACAATATTTATCATATCATATCATTATATCTATCTACATATGTGTGTATGTGTGTGTGTATATATATATATATATATATATATTATTAAAATCGGTGTTATAATTACTATTATAATTTTTATGTATTGATATTTTCTGTTTTCACTTTAATTTTAGTTTTTTTTTTTTTCAGTTATGTTAGTACATCAAGCTAAACTAAATGAAAATGCAAAATTGAAAATGTGAAAAGTTGCCTTGGCAAGTAGCTGAAATAAAATAAGTTTGTATATTATTATATTTTATTTCAGTTGAAGTTTATTTTATTTCTAGAAATGAAAGTTTTAAACTATAATAACCCTGATTAAAATGTATTAAAATACATATCAACAGTGAAAATTGGCAGGTTATATGTCATTTCAAATGAAATAGGTCTCAAATCTTTATGAAAGCATCCTATCTGGCATTTTTGTTTACTAATTAATTGCAAAGACTAAGAAACTAATCATCTATCAAAATGTATTTGACATTTTTAAGCAGTTTCCATCCATTCATCCATTTATATTCACATTATAATTACTGTATAAATATATTGATCTGTTTCATTTCTTAGTGATGGAGGATATTTACCCAAAATAAAAAATACTTTTGCATCAACTTTGCAATAACTGTCCTTGGTGGCCACAGTAAAAACTCCCAGTGTTCTCACTCAGTGTCACTCTCTTGTGTCTTTCAGCTGTTGGACACTAAGTCCACAGACCGCACACAGACTTTGATGCACTTCATTGCAAATATGGTGCAGGAGAAATACCCCGAGCTTGCCGGCTTCCACACTGAACTCCGCTTTGTAGACAAGGCTGCTCTGGGTAAGACATACCATAATTACTGTACATCCCACTACATACTGTACATACTACAAACAATGGGATGCAATCGCTGCATATTAATTATAGATTTAGTTTATGTGTTCTCTTTCTCACTCCTTTGCTCTCTCAGTGTCTTTGGACAGTGTGCTCCAGGACGTGAGATCTCTGGAGAGAGGGATGGAAGGGACCAAGAAGGAGTTCCTGGTGCAGGACGACATCCCGGCGCTGAAAGAGTTTGTTAAGGCCAACAGTGACATATTAGACTCACTTGTTAAAGATGGCAAGACCGCACAGGTGAGACCACAGTGTATGCTCAATGCACACAAACTATTAGACATTAAATCTTGCTGACTTTTTCTCTTCGGCCAACAAGGAGGCATACACGTCTGTAGTGGAGTACTACGGAGAGAATCCGAAAACGACACAGCCTTCCATGTTCTTCCCACTCTTTGTCAGGTTTATCAAAGCTTATAAGGTGAGAGATACAGCAGCATTTACCTACAGCTATTGAGCATGTTTGTGTCAACACATACACATATTTAAAGGTAAATACAAAGCTGTTATTATTTGATTGTTCACATGCTTATGGGAATTGCTTGAAATACTGTAAATACAGTAGAGGAATAAAATGTTGAATGAGCATGTTAAAGGAGCTGAGCTCTAAACAAAGAACAAAGATACTGCAAGCTTTTCACCAATTGATTAATTACTGTGGTGTATTATTGTCACACAACAGCAAGCAGAACAAGATAATGAACAGAAGAAGAAACAAGAGAGTGCAGCAGAAGAACAGACAGCCCCTTCCCCAAAGAAGAAAGATAGCACTCCTCAAAAGGTAAAAAAAAAATGCATTTCTAAAATGTGTTTGTAATTTTATTTAGATTTTTTAAATATATTATAAAATTATATTTAATTATTTTATTTAAATAAAGCATTGAGTGGAACTGCACAACTTAGTTATTCCCCTGAGTTATTCCTCCTATTCTGACCAGGGTCCTATGATGCCCAAACTGCCTCAGATGGATCTGATTGCAGAGCTCAAGAAGAGACAGGTGAAGCCCCAAGTCACAGACGGGGTCATCGAGGACATTATAACAGGTAAAAATGTGTTATAGATGTACAGCCAAAATAGTCTGGTCAAAATATAACCTAGGCACTTTCCTTATGCTTATACTTCCCTTGTACTTCTTAAACTGGCAAGAACGATTTGATTTTTTAAGAATTATAATTGTATTTTTCATTTGTCTGTCAGATTTGAGAAATTCACCCTACAGAAGAGGTGATGGTCGGAGAGCAACTCCACGACAAGACAACTGAGAGTTACCTAAAGAGACTTCCCTCCTTCCCACTGGACACTTCTGTATATAACACCTGGTCTTATTCTTTATATAATAAAACGTTTTCAATCTGTACAGTGATACAGAAAATGACTGGCAAATATACATACACATTCACAGATACACAACAACAGATGCTGCACACAAACAAAGTCACACTAACAGACACCCATCATCACACACGCTTACATATGCCCTGACACAATATAATTGTAAATAAGGCATAAAAAGGATTTTTGTACCATCGCATATGCTAGTTACAGCAAACATGTAAAATGGCTATATGAAGACCTATTTGAGTGCAAATGAGAACAAAAATAGACCCTTAGGCAGTGTGTGTAAGGGAAAGTTCTTCCAAAAATGAAAATTCTGCATGAATTACTTTCTTCTGTAGAATACAAAAGAGGATACTTTGAACAATGTTTTTGTTCACACAATTTAAGTCAGCGGGGTCCAAAACATTGTTAGACCTGACTGACTTCTATTGTATAGACAATAAACCAAGACATTTTTCAAAAAGTATGTCATTCAGTTCGCAACAATATAAGAATGAGTAAGTCATGACAGAATGTTAATCATAGCACCAATTTCAGTTATTTTCCTTTAGCAGTCCGCCTGATAGCCAAAATCTACATTAGAACGAGCGACACTGCCTCCACATTAAGGTTTTGCTGTTATTTTTTAACATTCTTTTTGTTAATATAGATATGAGCAATAAAACGTCTCGACAAACACCGACTACTACAGTACTCACTTTCGATTATTGCAACTCTACTTGGTTTTACATAGTCTTACAGTCTTGATTTTACACTTGATGGACATCTAACGAACTCAGCTTGATCTCCAACATGTGAGATTTGGCAAATGAATGAGGGTTTGGGTAAAGAGTCCTTCCCCAGGCCTCCCGTGGGTGGTGTGATGCTGGCTGTGCGGTGGCACTGGAAACAGGCTGGTGGGGAGTGTCCAAGCCCATCTGTTGGTTCTCTAGTTTGAGGAACTCGCAGAAATGCAGAGTAGGTAGGGTTTACAGTTTGGATCTGTTCACAAACTGAAGATAAGTGAACCTATGACGCAAAATGCTGCACTATGCCTCGGAAAACAATGTAATACAAATGTAATAATATTTCACAATATTACTGTTTTTACTGTATTTTTTTATCAAATAAATGCAGACTTGGTGATCATAAGAGACTTACTACCGACCCAAAACTTTTGAAAGGTGCTGTACATTTTATTTGCACTCAGCTCTGACTGAATTCACAATTAGTCCAATAAAGACAAGGAGATAAGTGAATCGGACCAAAAGAGAGAGTGTGAAGTGTTTGTGGAGCAGTGATGTGTTAATCAAGCAGTCAGGGAGAGCAATCATTTCAAAGATGAAGTCTTTTAAGAGAAGGCTAGAGTACAAAACTAAATCAAATGTGGATGAGGCCGAGAGCGAGAGGCACAGTGAAAGGCACAGCAAACAGAAAAAGAGCCTCAATGAAATGAGTCCGGGTGAAAAGATGTGTGTGCATAAATGCTTGTTTCCATTTGCTGCTAAGAGGGTTAAGACAAAAAGGAGATATATGCAGTCCACTTCAAAGGGAATAATTAGCTGTTACACTGACAAGACTAAATCCTGATCATATCCAGCTTAGCAGGAGTGCCTATAACAGCAAATATGCTCTCCTGTAATTATAGTTGCAATGAACCCTCTGATCCAAAATCTGCTTCTCTCTTCCTTCCCCATAAAAGATTAGATTATTTTCTAATATTCATGGCCTGTTAAACAGGGGCCAGATTTATTAAACACAGAGTGAGGAGATTTACAGAGCACCGCATATCTATCTTCTCCATACCTACAGCACACAGGCCCTCAGCTGTCCATGTGCGTGTGCATCTTTTTCTCCCTCTAATCCATCTTTCAGTCCCTCCCCTGTTTTCTCCACCTGTCTCATTCACTTCGCTTATGTTGTAGAGCTCACATTTCCCTAGTCTCTGGCTTCATGCTTTCTTTCTATCCCTTCTCCTGAGACCCACCTGTCTCTGGTTTCTTTGTTCTGCTAGGGGGTTTTAAGTTCACTTTAGAGTCCCAAATGTTCTGCGATTGATGCATCAATTCATGTTGTGACTGACACACACTCAGACAAACACGTGCACACACACACATCTATCCTAAAGCTCTCGGCTATAGTCTGAGCTGTGGATTTTGAGCTCTGAAATGCCCTCAGACAGACATTATGAATTGGTTTCAAGCAGAAAATGATCTTCTTAGCTTTCAGAAAACCATTTTAAATGTTAATACAAACTTACACAACATAAGGCTAAGAACGAGACTAAAACCATGTTCCACATAAAACCAAGACTGAAAAAATGAACAAACAAAACCGAGGTCAAGACTACAGTTAGACTAAGACTAAACTGGACCAGGCTAAGCCTAAAATTAGCACTTAGACTAGATTAAGACAAGACCAAAACTATAACTAAGACTAAATACAAGACTACACATTTAATTTTTAGACCAAACTAAAAATTAACCAAAGCCAAGATCAAAACAAAGATTAAAGATAGACCAAAACTAGACTGAGATTAAACTAGGCCTAGACAGAAGGTAGAGGCCTAGACAGTAGATAGAATGATGGAACGATAGAACAATACACTGGATGATAGAACCATAGATAGAAACACAGAACGATAGATAAAACCATGGAATGATAGAACAACTGATATATAGAACAACAGACAGACAGAAAGACAGACAGATCATACCTGCTGTTGACCCTGGTTCTTAAGGAAGTCCTCTCTCTGTTTGCTTGTTTTGCTCTTTTCTGATCCACTATGCTGCAGGTGCTTGAGACGAGACAACACTTTTCCACCACCAGTCTGAGAAGGATGAGAGAGAAGAAGAGATGAATCTATGCACTATATTTGGTAATATTTTTCATCCAATTTCCAACAGTGTATTTGCCATCGCCGGCAGGCAAATCTCCTCCAGCAAGGAAATGCTGGAGGAGAATAGTGTGCAAGACAGGCAGAAGGGTGATGTGTTTTTAATAGAACATGCATCTCAGCACACACACACAGACACATATTACCTATAATTTCTTGTATCAAATTCAGAAAATATCAATTATACGGCTCTGCACAAAGTTGACAAAATCTCTCTGTGAAATACAAAATAGTCTTTTCTCTCTCTGCATATATTACCTACACAAGATCAAGCACTTGACTAAAGTCTAGAGTCACAACCAGCCAACAGACCTTTTAAAGTTTAAAAGGCCCATTAGCTGTGTGTTTTATGCAAATGAGCACCTCACTGAACAAGGGGTTTTGTAAGAGGATCTAATGCATGCAATCAGGTGGACCTGCGGTTGCCGGGCTCCATCTGTCCTATGAAAACAGCGTGCAACGACCTAGAGCAAGGGGCTTGAACTCAACAGTTAGGAGGGATGATGCAATGCTGGCTTGTATACAAATGTGTGGGCTGAAAGCAACGCACTAGAAAACACAAGTGACTTCATCCAAATCCTTCCCTTCTGTCACTCATGGAGATCAGCCCTGTTCTCAGCAGAGTTGAGTAATACACATAGCGGTTTATCCTGACAACTACTCTCCGAAGACGAAAGACAAATGTGAGGAGTCAATACCACATAAATTACGCAACAAAATCACTTGAGTAGTTACGAAGAGCTTCCCTGGGCTTTATCTTTTTATTTTACAAGAAAACCACATATAATGTCTTATGTACCAGAGGAAAATAAGACAAGGGGAAAGTAATCAAATTGCAAAGTCATTTTAAGAGGAGAAAAAAAGTAGCAGGCTAATAAAGAAGAGGAGGAAACGAGAGAATTTATTGTGCGAAAGATACAATATGTATTTCTACAGAGGCTGGAGGCAAACAATTTATCAAAGCATTTGCAAAAGAGAACAAACTGATCTAGTTGAGCAACCCAGCGTAAGAGACCAAAAACTTTCCACCAGACAGGAAGAAAGAAGATGGAAAAGACAGAAAGACCAGGGCTGAAGAGGATACTGAAGGTTAGGTTGAACCTTTGCTGTGGATGTGCTGATGCAGGATGGTTTGGGTGGGACAGCAGGTTTGTTTGTGTCTCCTCCATCTGCAGGGGTCTGTGCTGTATGTCGAGTGCTGCAAGATCTCTTGGTGGAGGAACTCTGTGCCTGGACGGATGATGGGAAGATGTTGCCCATGTGAGGATCAGTGCTGAACTCCATCAGGCTGAGCTCCAGCTCACGGATGGTCTCCTCCAGACTGTCCAGACGACGGTATGTGCTGTGGCAGATGTCTTCCTTTTCCCCTCCAACGCCTTGAGTGCGGATCAAACCCACTTGAGATGTCTCTACAGGCCCTTTTTGCGACGAGACAGACATTGTAGTGTCTGACTTTCTCATTCGCTCTTCTTTCATTTCTGTCGCCGCCTCGAGAGACTCCTGAACCCTTGGCTCCCTCCCCAGGGGCTGTTTAATTGCTCTCTTGCTTGTTAAGGGCGGGCACGACTGGGTCACATCCTGGACAGGACTCTGGAGCTCCCTCTGGGCTGCATCCAAGTCTTGTATCCGAGGGACTTTTTGGCTGGCTGACAAGTCTTGTTTCCATAGCGACAGACGGGGAGTCCTCACAATGTGGCTGAAGTAACTTACTCTGATGTCATTTCCAGTATTATTGTCTTTAATTGTCTGCATGCTGTCAGACGGCCGGCTCTCTGCTGAGTCCTCAGAAGGGGACGTGGGGAGAGAGTTACACTCAGTTAAGACTATCTGGGGAACTGGAGTGGAGGACATCCCGTGCTGCATCTGCAATATAGCAATTAACCCATGAATGTGAATCATATATGTATGAAGTTGTAAGGTTAATGTAAAGGTGGCTAAAAAGAACTAACCAGAGGTTTCTCTGTAAAATCATTGGAGTGATCATCACCACGCTTATATGTGATCAGCTGCTGGCACATATGTAGTATAGCACATATACAAATACAAAATTTAACTAAATAAATTTAAAAAACATAAATATTCAAACACATTCACCTAGGAATAGTTCTCAAAAATAACTCAAAAATCATTCAGTCCTCGTTTACTTGCGTTTATTCAATCTTTTTCATGTCTGAATTCAAAAAATGCACAAGAACTCTAAAAATAGTCCAAAATAGTAAATTTGACTCATGCTAGTCTTGTTTTGTGAGGAACTGACTAAAATCTACATAGTTATTCACTCATGATCTTACCCTCTATTTGAGCTGTTGACTGTTACGACTGAATCATCGAGTCAGTTGAACTCGAGAACACGAACAAATCGTGAACTAATCATTCAGACTAGTTTTGTGAAACAGATTCAAAATATCAAATTCAAAAGAATCACAAATCAGCTATTTCTCTCATAAACCTAAATTATTGTTACTTTTAGAATTAAAAATATTATGGAATTAGAAGACTTGGAATATGGAGTATGGACTACTTTTACGATACCTTTAAAACTTTTGCATACTTTTTGAATGTTGAAAGTTTCAGGCTCCAATCATATTGCTTCATGTAAAAGAGCATAGTAAAACAAAATGTATCTTTCTTTGTTCAACATAAGAAAGTCATATGGGTTTGGAACGACATGAGGAGTAAATGATGATAGAACATTCATTTTTAGATGAACTATTCCTTTAAAGATCATTTAAAAATGTAAAAACAGCAAAATTCAATGTGCTACCACATTACAACATCAAACCACTTTTAGCTTCAGTGGAGGAAAGTGGAAATTTGGCATTTCAACACAAAACAGACATGCACTGGCAAGTGCACACTCACGCACTGTGTACAGTAGGTGGTGATTGTGTAGTTGTGTTCATGCTCACTGTGATGTGGGAATATCTTTTTGTTTTGTTTTGTTTTTTGTGCCTAAGAGCATCTTTGGTCTTTAGTTTGAGTGCAGTGAGGTTTTTTGTAGACATAGGTGTATGTCTAACATTTTAGAGGGACACATTTTGGGGTGAACTAAGATTCATGTGTGTGCACGAGTGTGCAACAGCTGTCCACACTAGCTTGCAGCAGAGGCTGTTACCTGTCCAGCCGAGGGCACATGGGGCAACAGCTGTAAACTAGAGGGAGGAGGATACTTCCTGGGAGAGGGCAGGGGGAGAGTCAGATGTCGCTCAAAGAGCTGAGCAGTCAGGAAAATCGAAGAGAATGAATGAAAAATATGGGATGCACAATATCAGTTCAGGATTCCTCATGAAAAGCTCTAATGTCATTTAGGACATGCACATTAATATACAGAATTGTAAATCCCATAATTTATTTAATCAAATATACAAAATTACATTATCATTTGGTGGAACATCAGAAATTACACACTGTACCTTTAAACAATGTTTAGACTTCAGCAATTTATGTTCATGAATGTCTATGGGTGTTATTGAGTTACGGGTTTGTTTTGAGATGCAGCTTGTGAGCCTCATTAGGTTTGAGGGGGAGGTCAGTATGGTGTCACTGCAGCAGTGCCCAGATCTCCACAGGTCTCCACAGGGTTTCCAACAGAGACATGCAGTGGGGATGGAGGACAAGAGACATCTGCTCGCTTACCCTATCATCCACTCAACCAAGACAACAAAATACGTCTGCTTGTTGGTGTTAATGAGCCTTGTAGTTTGTGTGCCGTGTGTGTTGCTGCCCTGAAGCAGGTCAAGGAAGCCTAAAATCAACACCAACACAGCTCAAGCAGTGTCAGTCAGGAGAAATGCACTGTTATGGCCCCCTGGTAAAACGATAATTGAGACAGCTAGGGAGAGATTAGGTTAGAATTTAATTGTGCATCAATTAAACAAATATAAAACGATTTGATGCATGTTCTGAAGCAATTGAACTGCAGTTCAAAACAGGATGGATGTATTTATCGGCACTTTGGGCGACCCGAGTTTGGTCCTTCATTCCCATAAATTCAATTTATATTACATTATATGCCATATTGTGACATTAAATTGTTATAATAATCTACTTCAAATAAATGCTTTTCTTTTGATCTTTAAAACCATGTTAAGAACTTAATATTAAGAAGCAAAGAAGCACAACTTTTCAAACTTGTTAATAATAAATGTTTCTTAAGCAGTAAAGCAGCATATTAGAATGATTTCCAAGGATCATGTGATACTGAAGACTGGAACAATGACTGCTGAAATTACATTTTGAAATATATTAAAATAGTTTTTTAAATAACAATTTTATCAATCAATAGTTATTGAATAATTGTTTTTTTTAATAATATTTCACAATATTACTGTATTTGCATTCAAATAAATGCAGCTTTAGTGAGGTGGAGGCTGGTCGGGGGGCTTCGGATACACTCCTCCTCAGCTTAACGTGTGGCTTCTGAGACTCGGTCTCCTCTGATTCTGACTTCTGTTTACATACACAAAGACAAAAGACAAATCTCTATATACAATATGCTTTTTTTTTTAAAAAAGGTAACATACACACAAAAAAACATACTTCTCTTTTAAAATAAGTTTGATGTACTAGACACATACTCAATTTCTGGACACTTAAGTCACTTAAAAATGTCTCAATGTTGTTGCTAATGCATACGGATATGCTCTGCAACAAGAAAATATTGAATGGATCAATCAGTAAATAAATATAAATACAATTATGTATGTATGTATGCATGTATGTTTGTATTTATTTAAGGACAATTTCTAATAAACATTTATTTATTTATGACTGAATCGATCAATGAATGAATAATATAAAATATAATTATTTATTTATGGATCAAATAATTAACAAATAAATAATATATTTATGGATGAATTAATAAGTAAGTATATAAATATAAAAAATATATATAAATGTATATATGTATATGATTGAATGAATGAATCATGTAAAATTAATTATGGCTGCTTTGACAGACATTACAATTAAATTCCAGAAAATAATAACTAAAAGGCTACAAGAGTATAGAAAATATCCCATTGTAATGTAACGACTGAATCTTAATTAAAAATAAACACAAGGGAAATTATCACCTAGAACCATCTTAATCTTTCTCAATCTCTCTCAAATTCACCTGTGACCAACAGCCGATTTATCACCATAGGAACAATTGAGGTGATAAAGTAAATATTAACCATGACTAACACACCTACAAAAACAGGCGGCTTTTATGAGAAGCCTGACATTTTTGAGACCCTGCACTCAAATAAAAGTGATGTAGTGTGTTCCCCTGACTCCTCTGACGGTCTGTGTGCTTCTCTTTCAGGAACAGCTTGCATGTAAATGTTTGAGAAAGTTTGCATACATAAACGCACACATGCAAAATCATGTGTGTGTGTGTCATTCTGATTGTCACCAGTCACCTTTATACTCTTTCCAGGAATGATCATCTCTCCGCTGCGTGTAGTAAGCCCAGGAGAGGAGGGGAAACTTCGGCGGGGAGGTGGAGGAGGGGGGCATTTTGCGGGCTTCTCCGTTCGATACCTTGCCACCGTCAGTTCATCCGAGCCTCGTCTAGATCCGCTATCTTTACTGGAAAGTTTATTCTGAGGTTTATTAGGCTTGTGTTCAGGTGTGGCATTGGTGTTAGACGGACTGGGGCTCTGGTTTTGGTTTTGAATCTGGTTCTGAGCAGGTCGGATCTGCTTGGCAGCAAAGTCCAAGTCAGGAATGGCCTTCATGAGCTCAGCCTGAGTCTCCTCCAACAGTCGATTAATGTCCTGAGCACTGTACTGTGTCAGACTGGCCCTCTTTTCTTCCCAATCCCGCTCTGCTGCCTGAGGAGACATACAAGATCATTAGTGCTTCAAAACAGCTAAAGAAGCTGTTAAACCTATTTACACCAAGTCCGAATGTTCAACTCTAAACACATTCAAGATTTCAAAAGTAAATATGTGGATTTACGTTTTTGGATTTTCTGGATTCCATTTTTTCCGGGTTTTTTTTTTTCCTGGACTCTTTTTAATGATTAATTAAAATTTTATTAATCAAAAAGCATGTCTAATTATTTAAAATCATGAAACTTAACATCAATATATTAAAGGTTTAACAAAAATTAAATTTTTAGGGCCTTATTTATTTTTTTCTCACGTTCTGTTTTGTTACCAAATTCTGTGTTTAAGCATGTCTAATTATTTGAATGCATACAATTTATTATGACGGGTTGCAGTGAATACCTTTACTCTTCTGTGTATATATGATATGACAATAGTTTTACTCAAATGGAACGGTAAAATGCTCAGGAAGTGACTCAGAGCAGTTCTGGAAATGTTGTTCATGTATTTGTGTCCTAATTTAGTGAGACGGCAGACGCAGAAATCACAGCGAGCGCTTCAGTACGTGCGGTAAACAAAACCGCGCTTCTGCTCCATTCATTCACACAGAGACACGCAGAACATTCAGGATTCATATTTAAAGTCTTTCTGCAGCTTAATATTTACAGATACTAGTCCATATCGTGATTTAAGTGTAATGACCTACTTTTGATTAATTCATTCAAGCGTCGACATTCCACCGACATTTTTTTAATAACTGGATTCCGCGATTCCATCCGTGTTTTCCGCATCGCGTAAATCATAGGGCCCTACTTTCATTTTAAATCTAATTCCTCACCAGTCTCACTTCCACAGATGAGGCCTTATCAGACCCGCCTCGACCTCCCAGCTCGCCCAGCTCCCGTCCCTTTAACGAGCCCACCACCCCATGAGAATCTTTCTCACGCTGTGCACTAGAAGGGTTCGAGTGGCTGTGTCTTTGACCAGAGTGAGGGCTCCAGTTAGCCAGGCTGGTCTCATTGAGGCTTAGCGGTGGGCTGGTTGGAATGTCGAAGTCTGGGTTCTTCCTGTACTCATCCCCTCCTCCGAGTTTAGGGGAGGGGCTGGAATACTCATCCTGGGTCTTCCACACTCCTTCATTCACCTGCCTGATTAATCCATAAAATAGCACTCAAAATGATGACGAGTAATTTACATTCGAGACACAGTCAGAATGTGTGTCGAGACAAGGACTGATTAAATAACCCAGTAAGTGGTTAGTAAGTGTTTGTCTACCTCCTCAGCGTGGAGAGTGTGTCTGTGATAGATTTGCAGCGTTTAAGCAGGGCGTCCAGTCTGTGTGGCTCCTCTTTCAGGAATTTCACAGCTTCCACTTCCACTCGTAACACCACACGCATTTTACTCTGGAGCCCTGGGAAAAGATCTGAACGAGAGAGACAAAGAGAAAAACAGACAGCCAGAGAAGTGAACAACTCTCTTCTGTAACTAAGGTTCAAGTGCCTGACTGTGAAGGACAGAAAAGAGTCTGTCTCACTCTTCAGCTCCGTAAGAGTCTCTCCCAGTTTCCTCAGCAGCGAGATTTTCTCCTCCAGCTCCTGCACTGTCACATGTCGGTGATTGACAGACATCTCCTTCTGGATTTCCTCCACTGACTTTTCCAGATCACTGTCGAACACAAACATCCGCTCTTTAGTTTTATCCCATATTGATTGTTTCAGAAAGAGCATAAACCTGCATGACATAATAATTGATGCTATCATAAAGCACCTCAGTGTTATTACACAGAAGGGCATCTTTTACATTCTGATGTTTCTGACATTTAAAAGTTGAAAAATGTAGCACGAGATGCGTGTGAAAATCCCAAGCCCACCTCCCTGCGCTGTGGCGTCGGCACGCATTTGAATAAGTGTCATTGCAGCAGGGTGTATTAGCACTAAACGACTGAGACACAGTCAGAGTGTTTACACTCGAAATCCAATTTAACCACGTCAAATAAATCCACCCCCCACAAAATGGTTTGTTACAAACAGCGTCCTGTTAATAATTGAATAACATCAACTGGCTGTTAGCTATACTTAATAACCACTATCAATTAAAAGCAACACGACTGATCTGGCAGCGGGTTAAAGAGGCGGATTTAGTCACCCTGCTGCTTTTAATTGGAACAAAATAAATCAATGAGATGCTGTCCGTTTGTTGTACAAGCTAAAGGTGAGGTGCGGGTCTGCAGGATTTTGACTGAGACTGTTTATACCTCGCTTTCAGGTATGAGCTGATGAGAACCTATGCAATAAAAATAACTGGGAAATAATTTTTTGCACATTATGCAGCAGTGTCAGTAAGCTAGCACCTCAGACTGCATTATCAGCACATTATGAGCACATATTGTGTGCGAGACGCACTGCAGTTGCTGTATGATGAGTTCCTCCTCGTTCAGATACTTGAGTCTCTCCTCTTCCACTAGGAGGCGCTGTCTTTGGAGAGGGTCTTCCTGTTTTCTCAGCGCATCTGATAGACGGAGACTCAGCTCTGTCTCGGTCCTCTTCAGCAGACTGAGTATGGAGTCCTGGTTCTGCAGCTACACACAAACACACACATATTTTAAGAATGACCCATCATTGCATTTGCTTAAAGGGACTGTTCATCCAAAAATGACAATTCTTTCATTAGTTACTTACTGGTATGATTTTATTTCTTTTGTAGAAAGCAAAAGAAGCAAATCATACAGTGAGTGTCAATAAGGCCCACAACAACACTGGAACCCACTGACTTTTATTGCAGGGACAAAAATTCCTCAAAAAAATACATTTTTTAATTTTTGAAGTATTTTACAAGAGAATTTAATGTTAGCCTTTATACTTTAATTCATGTTTAATTCAGTGTGTCACTTGCCATTTCACTGTAATTATTTGAGAAATTTTCTAGCAATTTCTCAGTGAAAATTGGTTTTGTAGTGAGACTCTAAAAAATGGCTAAATTGAAATGAAAAAAAGGCTTTTGAGAACACACAGTTCTTGAAAATTCTGGAGTCACAAAATTAATAATAAAAAATGTATTTAATACATCAATACTCTCATAAAAAAACAAGCAGCTTTTTCATAATTACAATAGAAATACTGGAAATATACTGTATGCCTATATGGGGGGAAGGGGGCTTTCAAATATTGGCTTTCGGTCAAAAGAATTAAGAACCATTGCTTTGAGATGTTTTATAATGCACGACATGTTACTAGATCAACTTCCTATGGTGTTCTTAGAACAATATTCCCTTCAAATAAAATCGCAGCCCTTCTAGGTTAAGTATTAGTCTATGAATGAATGGTTGTTAAGCATTACAGTCTACAGAAGTTTCAGGTGTATCAGTGTAGGAGTTTTTATAGGTGGCTACACTGCTTGGGAGTTTTGCGTTTTACGGAAGGTCAGCTGTCACAATCCATCACAACACATCCATCAGATGACTCACATATGTGTGCATGTCTCACATTGACCTGTCTTTGACCATATGCAGCTGTCATCTTGAATGTGAAGGTATGATATTATAGAATTGACCTTGCTAGTGTGCGTGTTTGTGTATACGGGATCATATATATACTATCCTTGATTGTTTATGATGGATCACATTCTTTTAAGGTCTCTTGAATGCCCTAATGGGAATGCGCATCCATGTCCTTGAGTTTATTTTCTAGTATTTTCAATCTTTGTATGTTGAAGGTTGTGTGGGAGTTGGAGTGCCAGACATCACCATAATGTTGTGATGTGTTAGCATTCTGCAGTGTTTGTTTGCCCTGAGAGAAAAAATGGGTGGACTTTGTCACTTGCATAGCGCCGATAATGAGAAAAGTGTGTAAAAACTGTTTTTGTACACTGTACGTTTGTGTGTACGATGCGATTTTAGTGTCATTTGGCGGTAGTTCCTCCTCGAGCTGAATTATTTATGAGTCTCATGCATTATTCAGCATATCCATGTCTCCTAGGTAACAGGACGAGGGCAGGGGCTGTGTCTCGATCTCTGGCATTCAGGCAGGTAATTGTCTAACTCAGGAATCTGTAGTTGTCATGACACCAGTGGCTTGGCTCTCGACAGCAAAGCTATTGACACCAATCTCTCTGACCATGCATTTGACTCTTTGGCTTCCAACTCTCCTCCACCCCAAAATTATACAGTGCCCTGCATTTCAGTGTGTTAAACGTTCATGAACTTAAAAAAAGACATCTTAATGAGTTTAATCAGTCTTTTTTGACTTCCCGTACAATTACATATATATAAAAAAAATCTCTCTCTAAAAATTTACCAAACAACTCTTAATGTCTCATGCAGTATTGCTTTCAAGTTTGCTTCTCCAACAAATTGATCTCGTTTTAAGATTTTTTTTACTGTACTGTACATATACTTATTATACATTATATATGCTGTATTTATTTAAGTATTTTTTAAAAATATTTTATTATTATACTGTATGTTAATTTTTCGCAGTGTGGGATTGTCTTTCTTTTGCAAATGCAGACTCTTAAAGGAACACTCCACTATTTTTGAAAATAGGCTCAACTCCCCTAGAGTTAAACAGTTGAGTTTTACCGTTTTCGAATCCATTCAGCCGATCTCCGGGTCTGGTGGTAGCACTTTTAGCTGTAGCTTAGCATAGATCATTGAATCTGATTAGACCGTTAGCATCTCGCTCAAAAATGACCAAAGAGTTTCTATATTTTTCCTATTTAAAACTTGACTCTTCTGTAGTTACATCGTGTACTAAGACCGACGGAAAATGAAAAGTTGCGATTTTCTAGGCCGATATGGCTAGGAACTATACTCTCATTCCGGCGTAATAATCAAGGAACTTTGCTGCCGTACCATGGGTGCAGCAGGCGCAATGATATTACGCAGGAATGAGAGTATAGTTCCTAGCCATATCGGCCTAGAAAATCGCAACTTTTCATTTTCCGTCGGTCAAATGTTTAACTCTAGGGGAGTTAGAAAATTAGCCTATTTTCAAAAATAGTGGAGTGTTTCTTTAACTGCTTCAGTATAGTATTATACATTATAGTATGTGATAAGGGCTACAATTCTTTAGCTTCCTTAAATCAAAATCAGAATAATGCAAACAAAAATCTAAATTTTTTAGACATATATACAGCAGGGTCCAAAAATCTGTGATCACATAAAAAAAACTAGGGGTTTAAAATTCCATAAGGAAATAAATGGTTTCAGGTTTTTGAAAAAAAAAAATTAACATGAACCATTGTGTAGGAAACAACAAGGAATATTTAAGATTCTGCACTCTTTCTAGGTCACTAATCGAATAAGCAAATTAATCATGTGAACTCCTAAGTATAAAAGATAAAATTTCCTTGCTTCCATTGAGAGAAACTCAATGTCTTTCTAGAATTTCCTTTCCTGTTTTTCTAGTGTTTATTCAGAGAGTACACGGTTGAGATGCGGGTGTTCACTCATAAATCACACCAGTAGCTATCATTCCACAGTCATTTTTTATTAAAGCACTACTGACTGAAAAGCTGACTCGATTTAGGGCCGGCTTCCTCACTCTCTTCATCTATGTATCCCTGCTGGCCCATACCATATCATCAGTATGATATTAAGAGTTATTGCCTGCCCTGCTATAGGAGTGAATCACTCATAGCAGCAGCCATAAAATTAATGAGTAGTTGAACACATGCTCGCTTACAAATAAATACACACACACTTAGATATACTTATACACAGTAGTGTAAGAAATACAGCGTTCCCATAATATTTCATAAATTCATTCATGAATTCTTTGACTTTCCAACAATATTTCAGTCATGGTTAATGTTTTTTTTTATTAAACACAATGTGTATGTACAGTATATATATATATATATATAGAAAGTTTGTGAACCGTTTAGAATTTTCTATATTTCTGCATAAATATTTTTGCACAAGTCCTGAAAGTAGACAAAGAAAACCCCGTCAAACAAATGAGACAAAAATGTTTTCTTTGTAATTTATTTATTGAGAAAAATTATCCAGTGTTACATATCTGTGCAGTGCAAAAGTATGTGAATCTTTGCGTTCAGTATCTGGTCTGACCCCCTTTTTGCAGCAATAACTGCAGGTAAATGTTTCTTGTAACTGCTGATCGGCTTGTAGGAATTCTAGCCCCTTCCTCAGTACAGAACCACTTCAACTCTGTGATGTTGGTGGGTTTCCTTCTATGAATGGCTTGCTTCAGCTCCTTCCACAACATTTCAATTGGATTAAGGTCCAGACTTTGACTCTGTCATTCCAAAACATTAACATTAACTCTTTTTCTGAGGTCCTCAGAGATCTCCTTTTTTCGTGCCATGATTCACTTCGACAAACATGACCAAACTTTGATAGATCCCTGTTCTTTAAATAAAACAGAGCACATACTGACACCTGATAGTCATTTCACTGAATGAAAACCCCTCTGAACAGATGGACTCTTAATTTCGGATTAAGGTCCAGACTTTGACTCTGTCATTCCAAAACATTAACATTAACTCTTTTTCTGAGGTCCTCAGAGATCTCCTTTTTTCGTGCCATGATTCACTTCGACAAACATGACCAAACTTTGATAGATCCCTGTTCTTTAAATAAAACAGAGCACATACTGACACCTGATAGTCATTTCACTGAATGAAAACCCCTCTGAACAGATGGACTCTTAATTTCGCCTTCAAATTAACTGCTGATCCTAGAGATTCACATACTTTTGCACCGCACAGATATGTAAAACTGGATCATTTTTCTCAATAAATAAATTACAAAGAACATATTTTTGTCTCAGTTGTTTGATTGGGTTCTCTTTGTCTAGTTTCAGCACTTGTGCAAAAATCTGATGATGTTTTGGGTCATATTTATGCAGAAAAAAAAAAATTCTAAAGAGTTCACAAACTTTCAAGCAGAAAGTTTATATATATATAAAAAATAGAGACATTATCAAAGAAGATACAAGATAAAAGAATTTGGGGTCAGTAAGATTTTTTAAAAAGGTTTTAAAATTACGTCTCTTATGCTCACAGTACAAAAATACAGTACAAATAGTAATATTAAGAAATATTTCTACAATTTAAAACTATTTTTTCCCATTGTAATATATATTTAAATGTAATTTATTCCCATGATGGCAAACTTAATTTTCAGCAGGCATTACTCCAGCCTTCAGTGTCACATGATCCTATGCTGAATTGCTGCTCAAGAAACATTTCTGATTATTATCAATGTTGTGCTGCTTAAAGGGGTCATATGATGCGATTTCAAGTTTTCCTTTCTCTTTGGAGTGTTACAAGCTGATTGTGCATAGATAAGATCCCTGAAGTTGCAAAGACTAAAGTCTCAAAACCAAAGAGATATTCTTTATCAAAGTTAAGACTCTGCCACGCCCCCCTAAAACGCCTCATTCTAACACGCCCCCACATATCTACCTCACTATGTGGAAATATTTGCGTAATGCCGCCCAAATGTTCACGCAAAGAAAGAAGGCGTGGTTTCAGTAACCGCAGTTAGTGTTGAAGCAGCCATGTCAGGGAGACGCTGTGTGTTTCTTGGAGAAAGTCTAGATAATGATCTTTAAAAATCATACGACCCCTTTCATATTTCTGTGGAAATTGTGATACATTTTTTTTCAGGATTCTTTGATGAATAGAAAGTTGAAAATAACAGCATTTATTTCAAATAGAAATGTATTGTAACAGTGTGGAAGTCTTTACCATCACTTGTGATTTAATGCATCCTTGCTGAATAAAAAAATCTTTTAATAAATCTCTTTCTATATATCAAATTAATTATTATTATATTTATATACATTTTCTTTTCTTTTTTTATTCATGTTTGGCTTTGAAATATTTCATGAGCTAAAATTGCTCTTTGTGAGTGCAATCCATATAAAACTATTCTTAATCTTTATCCAGAAATCATGGATGACTGGAAAAGTCATGAAGATTCATTGGTGTGAGAGCCCTGTTTATAGACACTGCATTCATAAAGAGAAATGTCTGATGCAATTTTATAGCTGAGCATAAATAGAAAAAATTATTTTCCGCTGTAAAAATTTCCATGACTTTCAGAGGCTAGAAAAAATATTTTCAAAATTATTCTGTAAATACAAGTCTGTAAGTACAGAAAGGAAAGCGTATGACAGACACACAATCCAATAGGATCTGTCAGACTGTTAGTGTGCCGTCTCCTCTCTGCTGGCTTTCAGCCCTCCCTAAAGCTCCCTGCACATCCTCCCTTGCTCTCCTCCTTCACACATTCACTAACACAAACATTTCCCTTTATCATACTCCTGTTCAACATGTCACCATGATAATCTGACAGCTGCCCGTACAAGGAATTTCAGCAGTTTACAACAGCATCCATATGTATTTTATTTAAGACATTTTGGCCCATTCAGACATTAGATTCTATATCCATCCTGCTTGTCAGAGATGACTGCTGTCTTGGGATAGTGGGCTCATATCTAAAAAAATCTGACATTTTGACAGATACCTTTATGACTGATACAGTATATGAATGTTCTTATGTTTGCAAAGACCTTCCCTTTTTCCCATAGAGGTAACTTATCAAACATCACTCTTCTCCCTCTTCTTCTGTCTTTTCTTTTGCCCAACTTAATACACACTGGTACAGAACACCAGCATTTCAAGACAACCTTTCTGTAATGTAAAAAGTAAGTGATTTTGAATCCAAAATTTTCAGTGTTGTCCTCTGGTTTGGATGCTGAAAAGTGCAATGCACGCCAGCTTTCTATATTGGACTCTAAACATGACCGAAATCGATGCATTTCCTCCTCCACACCACACACACTGAACACCATCAGGACATGGAGCTACAAATCTGCCGTAAATACCAGGTGAAGCCATTCAGCACGTCCTTTTTGTTTTTTCATTGCTGTGTGTAAATAAATTAGACTGTGAGATATCGTGAAGACTACAAATCGGTGCTGCTGCTCCTGCCGTCTGTGGCTTCTGTATCACCTCCTTAAATCGTCCTCCCTGTCAGCAGGCAAACATCTAGAAGGCTTGCAGTGTGAGGTGCAGGTTAGTGCAACACTTTCTACCGCAGCACTGTTCCATTCTTGATTCTGATTGGTTGACATTCATTCCCATATGATTATAAAGTATTTCCAGGTCTGCAGACCGAATTATAGTTATAAGAGCGTTTTACATTTAACCAATGTCTAGAGATAAGCACACGTACAATTGATTTCCATAGTATAAGTGGAATAATTGACACTGAACTGCTTAAGAGTTGAAATGTTAATGCACACTTAAGGTGTAACAGGCAATTGGCTTCGCATCATGCTGCATTTTCAAGTATGAATAACATTTTCAATATTTCAGCGGCCCGTTGTCAATTATTCCTTACTTTGAGACTGAGGTCTTGTAATAATGACAATGCCTGACCTTCCAACTGTGCCAACAATATGTGTTTCTACAATTTAAACTAAGCAGTTTAAAAATTCAGCTATCATAATTTTTAGCTATCAAATTAAAGCAGTATTTTGTGTAATAATGTATGATCATTTGCATTGACGCTGGGAGCGTTGTTGAGAATAGAAAACGTACACCTTTCTAAGTAGGAGCGAAATTACAAAGTTTTGAGCATAAAGAAACATTTGTGTCCTCAACATTGAACTGAACTGAGCAGAATAATGACAATATTTTTTTTGTAGAGCTGCTTACAGCTGAAATTGAATTTGTTTCATAATTAATGAATTCTGCAACATTAACACTGTTCTTTTCCTGTTACTATATTTCTCTGAAACTGCTTTTTCGCCACAATCTGTATTATACAAAGCACTATATAAATAAATGTGATTTAACTTGACTCCCTGGAAGCTAAATGCCACATTAAGCCATAAAATGACAGTCAATCAGAACACCTTTGAAGTTTGATGTAAAGTTTAATATCTATCTATGTGGAGCAGTCTCAACGAGATGTGTCGAAAATAGAAACCAAGCAACTGACAATCTGTCTTGACTCAGATTAACATGGAAGAGATGTGATTTATCACATGCCGCTTTATCACATCATGTCTGTTCAGTTACCTGCTGTGTGTCGAGATGCATGAGATTGTAACGTCTTACCTGCATCTTACGAAGCTGTGCGAGCTGTTTGCGCAGATCGGTGGAATTCTGTTGTAGGTCATGCAGGTGAAGCTGCATCTGTAGCCTGGAGACGGTGGAGGCCTGAGAGCACCCAGATGAAGGCGGAGGCATCAGTGCCAGCGGAGCAGATGGAGTCAGCGCTAATAACCACAACACAGGACAAAACGTCGACACTGTGAGCTCGAAAGACACACTCAATCCAATATGAATTATTTCACACTTACCCATCTACACCTTATACACCAGCATTGTTTAGTTCTGCTCCTGGAGATCGACCTTACAACAGAGTCTATGCTGCTTTCATGTTACAACGAATGTGTTTAAAAGTTTAACACACAAAATGCAAACATAAAGTCATATTTAGTAGTCGGAAACTCAGGATAATCGTACATTGAAGTCCACCTGGGAAGCTCTAACAGCCCAGTTGGGCAATTGCTATTAGGATATATCACACAATCAAGTTGAAAACACAATATCGAAGACGGAACAACATCAAAAGTTCTTTTTTGTCTGTTGTATCAGTGGATAAGCAAAATCAAAACAACATCATTCACTCTCAAGTACTGCAGAGGGGCACATTCAAAAGTTTGGGCATGGTGAGATTTTTTATGTTTTTGAAGGAAGCCCTATATATTAGCCTTATCACCAAGGCTGCATTTATTTAATCAAAAATACAGTAAAACAGTAATATTGTGACATATTACAATATTTACCATTTTAAAATGTAATTTATTCCTGTGATGGCAAAGCGTAATGTTCAGCAGTCATTACTCCAGTCTTCAGTGTCACATGATCCTTCAGAAATCATCCTAATATGCTGATTCGGTGCTCAAGAAATTTTTTTTGTGTTGCTTAATATTTTTCTGGAAACCACTGGTTAATAATATGTAATAATAATAATAAAACAAAACTAGGATATTTCCAGCCTGAAGGTTGCATAAGCCCAGGCTTTTCAAGTTGAGGTCAGGTCATTATGGCAGATTAAACAAGAATAAATATAAAGCTTGCCAGAAAACACTAGTCATTTAGTTGGTTTACGAAGAGATCAAAGTACATTTCTCATTATTACCCATGAAAGCATGGAATGATAAAACACACCAATAAATACACAATTACACACCTAATGTGCATTTTAGCTCTTTATTTTCTTTCATTGGCTCTAAAAAGCTTGCGGTCTTAGTCGGTAAGTGAAATGAAACAGAAAGAAATATGAAATTGCCCAGCGAGTCTATTTTATTCTGAGCAAAATCACTTTGTAGTGTCATAATTATGATTTCTGAACTAGGAGAAACTTCCCAGGAGGATTTGAACACAGTATTATTTCTAGCCATGTTCTAACACACCTGGCTGTAATTTTAATCAAGTGAACCCCATAACCTTGACTATCTGGATTGATGATCCAGCTGATTAGGATTGAGAATAAACTCTGTAGGAAAGAAGATCTCCAGAAACCAGATCAAGCACTTTTGCTCTACACCCATCCTTCATTGTGTTCAGACAGAGATACACTAACTGGCACACACACAAAGAGTGTTGTCACCTCCAGAACCCATTCAGGAACATGCTGTTAGTGAGGAATACAAAGATAGCAGCACTCTCCAGTCAGTTGTTTTAAACAAAAGGGTACATTTTCCCCAAGATTCGGGAAATGTGAAAAACAAAACACATCCTCCCCACACTTAATTTTCAGTGTATGAATGTGTCAAGTTTAGGAGTGAAAACAGACTGAGGGAGAGAAATATCTAGTGCTGGCAGGCCATAGAGGAGAGATACCGTGGAAAACTACAGTGGGAACAAGCATTAAAGGGATATTTCATCCAAAAAATGAAAATTCTGTCATCATTTAGTCACTTTCAAGTTGTTTCAAACTTGTAAGAGTTTCTTCCTTCTGTTGAACACAAGAAGATATTTAGAAGAATGTGGATAATCAAACAGTTGATGCCATTGACTTCCTTGGTATTTTGTCCATACTATGGAAATCAATGGCTACTGTCAAATGTTTGACTACCAGCATCCTTCAAAATAGCTTACTTTGTGTTCAACAGAAGAAAGAAACTCATACAGGTTTGAAACAACTTGAGGGTGAGTAAATGATGACAGAATTTTCCTTTTTTTGGTGAACTATCCCGTTAAATAAACAGAAGGATCACATTTTCGTATATATATAAAAACAAACACGCCCACTACACCAGGAAAGACACATCAATCCACATTAAATATGAGAGAGCAGAGACAAGGCTACCTTTCTTCTTCAGCCGGCCAGCTGTAACATACATTAGAAGCTTTCAGCTTGCAGGTAACTAAATAACCATAATGAAGTAAAGAAACAGTGCTGAATTGGACTTGTCATGGATCATAATCAAAAGGGGAGACTAGGACTCATGGGAAACTCTCTCGATGACCCTTTATTGAGGTGTAGGGTTGTAACGATATACCGGTATGCCGGTTTATCACGGTTTGAACTTGCATGGTTATCATACCGTAAACATTTGCACATTTACGTTTTTTTTAAAAATGAATGAAAAAAAAATCTCACCCGCGCACATGCAACTTGTTTCTGCTCGGCCGCTTCACTCTGAATTTACTTGGCTGCTTACACGCATGTACAGTGAAGAAAATGACAGAGACAGAGATCATATCTAATCTCCATCCCCACCGAAAAAAGTTAGAATCTGCGGTATGGGAATACTTTGGATATAAAAAAAACTAATGCGGGGCTGTCCTTGAGGACGGATCCAATTTGCAAAAAATGTGGATGCAAAGTGGCTGCAAAAGCAGGTAATACATCCAACATCTTCGCTCATATTCGCAGACACCACCCCTCCGTGCAGATAAAGCTGTGTTGCATTTATAAACATTTATAAATTAAGGACGTATGATTTCCGTGATGCAGAGGGAATCCCGGTGCAGTCATGAACATGGAATTTACACTATAATGAGGATGTCACGTAAAACACGCAATCTGATGGATGGATAAATCAAAAATAGATATGATAGGTGTCTGTGAATATTAAAGCGCGAAGGGATTGCTATATAAATAATTGCTTGTTTCTGCATGTCTCTGAGTGGCGCCATTTTTTCTACTTCACACTGAAGTACGCGTGACACTAATGGTGTTTTCAGCGTCTACATAAACATGAACATCAGCAGAGCATACTTAAACATTTCCTAGTTTAATTTGAGAGAAATCATTTTAAAATGTGACTTGATTTAACTTGAAATTATGACTATTAGCATTGTTCAATGTACTTAAAAGTTATAATAACAACAATAATAACATTCTTTATAATAATTAATTTATTTAAACATTATTTTTAAAGATGCAGTCCGTAATTTTTTTGGTTAAAAATTATCCAAAATCAATATTTCAGCAAGTACATAACCAGCCAGTGTTCGAAACTATCGCCTTACTTTAGCCCGATTCACAACGGTTATCTTATAATAATTTTTTCTAATTTGAGTGGTACGGTTAGGGTTTCGCGGGAAATTCGCGCATGCTGCTGCGTCATTACGTCACTTCTGTAAACATAAAGAAGTTGTCCCAGCTACTAGACTATCGCATGTGAGGATCCTGCAGGTGGAGGCAGGATCCTTTATAGCCTTTTCTCACAGCAGCCAGAATAATTAAATGTATCATTTCGATGGCGGATTGTAATCCAGAAAGGATTGTGTTTATGAAACACATGTAAATGAAATGAAATTATATTCCAGTTTTAAATGTGCTTCTGATAACAGATAGTCTGGGATTACACAAGATTTGTATTTTAAAGACAACCAGTTCGAAGGGAGCATAATTAGCTTTTTGGGTTAAAATAATTTCTTAATATGAAATTCGAGTGGTATGACAATTAGAGATTAGACTGTACAGAAATTGAAATCTACACGCTAATACACACTATACTCATAGTCACGCAATGCTGATGTTGTTATCATTAACAATTTGAGAATAAAGTATAACAATAATAATAATTTGCACGGTTTGATGTGATATGAGTTAATTTAGATTAAATCACCATAGCGCGATTTGTAATGCTTTTTTCCTCAGTTGGTCAGAACAAACGTGGCAGACTTGTTACTTACTTGTTCAGATGACAATATCCGGTGAAAATGCAAGACGTAGGCTAGAATCTGTGAGTGCAAAGCACAATATCCACACCGGTGTGGTGACTGACTGCCACACACACATACACCTCAAAACATTAGATTGATCCGCGCTGGAGACGTGCTGCCGCACAACCCACGCAAGGAAGATAATTCCGCACACAGCTGCAATTGCAGGTTTTCAAACAGAGATGGCGACAAAGAGGCAAAACTTACGGACTGCAGCTTTAAAGAATATCATGTTTGTCCATGTTTTAACTTTGTATAGCCTACCTCTGTTGTGCAGAACTTTTCCAAAAATAAAAGTTGTTACATTTTAATTTGATAACAATTTAAATGTAAACAAATTAAAACATTAATTAAAATGTTAACGTGTGATATAGATATACATAAGGTGTATTGCTTTGTTTTTTTTTAATGAAATTAATTAATTTATCTTTTTTTCAGAAGGGAGACTTCAATAAACTTTCATTAAAATTGTTTGTTGTAATAAAGGATTTGTTCACTCAAATAACTTGTTCTTATTCTTTTAAGAGTCATTGTTACTGATAAGAATTATTGTTTAATATATACCATGATATTTTCTGAGACGATTATCATACCGTGAAAATCTCATATTGTTACAACCCTAGGTGCAAGTCGACTTAGATTCACCTCTCTTAACTGTGGAGAACCTTCAAAGACAAATCTAGCATATCAAAACTCTGGCTGCAGCCTTTGAAGGCTTGACCACTGATGAAGACACCCTTTATGAAAACAAAGTAGGGTAATTTATTCAAGTGCACTCATGTCTGGTTGTTGTCAAACGCTGAGATCAGGAACTTGTAAACTTGGGCCAGCCTGATCTACTAAGGACATGATATTAGACATATCACACATTAGTTTTACAGCCTGCCTCACGACTGCTCTGGACAACCATTAAGAAGTAGCTGGACTCACTTCCTGTGGCGGAGCCGTCACTGGTGGATTCGGTCTTCTCGCTGGAAGAGAAAGGGAAGGGCCGTGAAAAGTCCGCCCCCTGGTCCGGAGGGCAGCCCGCCATCATGCAGAGACGCAGCAGGCCGCATCTGAGGATCATACAGCCATGATACTACCACTGTACTATAGCACCTATTACTACACTGACACTACACTAATACGCACTGCACTACAGCAAGACTACACTAGCCTTCTTTGTGGCTAATAAAGGGTTATGCTATCTATCTTGAAAGCTACTGTTATCTATGCTACTGTTATTATGACTTTCACTATTTCCACACATTACAATTCCTTTGAGTAACACAACTTTATTTAACCTATAAAACTATCATGTTAAACCAAGTACACTACTGTTCAAAACTTGGATTCAATAAGATTTTTTTTAAAGAAATCAATACTTTTATTCAGTAAGGATTCAGAAATTGTTTCAAAGTGACAGTAAAGACATCTATAATCAAATTCACTTCTTTCTATTCATCAAAGAATCCTGACAAAAAAATTAGCAGCATAACTGTTTTCAACATTAATAGTAATAAGAATTGTTTCTTGATCAGCAAATCAGCATATTATAATGATTTGACATTGATGACTGGAGTAATGACTGCTGAAAAATCAGCTTTGCCATCACAGGAATAAGTTACATTTTAACATATATTAAAATAGAAAATTTAATGACAATAAATTGTAATTAATATTTCACAATATTACTGTTTTAACTGTATTTTTCGATCAAATAAATGCACTCTTGAGGACCATAAGAAAGTTATTTCTAACACATTAAACAGTTTTACCAAGCTCAAAATTTTGAATGGTAGTGTATTAGAACTGAGATATAAAACCCTATTATCCTATTATAGCTACTATTCTTCATACTGGGCTAACAATATATATATATATTGTTAGCCCAGTATGAAGAAGCCCAGTTTCTTCTGAACACCAAAGTGCACAGATTTGCACTGTGATTATCTTTAAAAACAACAACAACAACAGGATTTGCATCAGGCATTTCTATCCTAACTCTGCCTAATCTGAATTCAACACCTTACTTACTCTTTATACAATAATCTTATAATCTCTACTCAATGCTCTTTACTCAACATTCTCTTTTTGAGGTTAGAATCTAAATATTGTTAATTTCCTTTCATTAAATAGTTAATGTGAATGACTTGTCACATCGGATATGAATGGCAATTAATGTCCAGCAACATCAAAGCATCAGGTACAAAGAGACCCATGGCCATCGCAGGACAAAGAAGACCACCAGCACACACAATTTCAATACAAGCACTTTACAGTCAGCAACTTAAGACATTTTTGCAAGCTTATGAAACATAAGAAAAGCCAATGGCTGTATACCAAAAAACAGAACACAAGATATTACCACATGATAGCAAAATGGTACCATGATAACAACAATGAGCATGTGTGAAATGGTTGAATGCATTGTGCAAACTGGTATTTTAGTGTTAAGGACATTTTACATGGTACGCAGTCTTAGGTACAGATGTTTTCCATACACATGAGAGGTGGCATAGACTGTGTTAGCATCTGACTTGCACTGGTTCCATGAAAATGGATCATAGATGGATGGCTCTGTGGATGTTGTCATGTCTTACGTGCTGTCGCTGTCTGGTGCTCGGGTTAGGACGCTCTGAACCAGTCCAGTCAGACTGGCTATCTGCTTCTCCATTGCCTCCATACGATCCCTGCTAACGAGGCAGACAGAAAATGTATAAGTGTACACTTTTTTATCATTTATTTTACATGGGTTTTCACTTAAACTTTCTCCTAAATACTACTTCCTGTAGTCTAGTTACAGTAGTAGATGTTCCATTATTGGCAGTTATATCTGTTCGAAGACAGCAACATTTCCCCTATCCGTGGATTGTCTAAGGCAGGGGTGTTCAATCCTGGTCCTGGAGAGCCAATGTCCTGAAGACATTAGCTCCAACTCGTCCCACCTGGAAGATTCTAGTAATCTTTAAGACCTTGATTACTTTAGTTCAGGTGTGTTTAACTGGGTTTGGAGCTAAACTCTGCAGGACAGTGTCCCTCTAAGAGCAGGATTTGACACCTCTGGTCTAGGGGCATCACTTAAGACCTCTCAAAAATAAAGTGCCAGTGCCCGGGTGCAGATCAACCACCACCAGTGTGCAGCATCCACCTGGATGATGCGACGGCAGCCACAGGACACCGGTGCCAGTGCGCTCACCACTCATCAGCTACAGGTGGAGAGGAGAGAGAGAGTCACAGAGCCAATCAAGTGGAAAGGGATTATTAGGAGGCCATGAGAGACAAGGGCCAGTGGAGGGAATTTGGCCAGGACACCGGGGTTACACCCCTACCCTTTACGAGAAGTGCCATGGGATTTTTAATGACCACAGAGAGTCAGGACCTTGGTTTAACGTCTCATCCGAAAGACGATGCTCTTTGGCAGTATAGTGTCCCCATCACTATACTGGGACGTTAGGACCCACACAGACCACAGGGTGAGCACCCCCTGCTGGCCTCACCAACACCTCTTCCAACAGCAACCTAGTTTTCCCAGGAGGTCTCCCATCCAGGTACTGACCAGGCTGAACCCTGCTTAACTTCAGTGGGCAACCAGTCTTGGGCTGCAGGGTGATATGGCTGTGGCTATAATTGTGCTTAATAAAGATTTCTTTCTGACATTTGCATAATAATAAATTATGTTTATTAATTTGTGTTCAGAGTGTGTAGACTGACGTACAGATCTTGTCAATGACAATGAAAAAGTGCATTAATAACCTCACATACATGTACATTTTGCTAGTGCTCACCGTGTGTCCGTCTCGGGCCCAGACAATGACGACCCAAATCCAGGTCCCTTACTCCCATCTCCTAGGGGTTCAGAACTGGAGCTGGGTCTGGACTTCGGACTCTCCACAAACACGGAAGAGGAAGTGGAGTCTTTGCGGAAGGTGGTTCTCACAGGCGACCCTCGGCTGGGAGACCCAGTGAATGATTCCCTGTCACGCAGCTGCACGTCGGGAATTTTCTGTGGGGAGGAGGGCGGCAGACGAAAGCCCATGCCGAGCGTGGAGCTGCTGTAAGTATCGGAGTATAGAGAACCTCCAGGCTTATACAGACTGTCCTCCAGGTCGTTTTGCAGTGCTGCAGCTGAGTATGTACTGAGAGAACGCACCGAACCTCTGCGGTACAGACCTCCTGACACTGGGAAGCCAAAGGGGTCAGCGATGGTGGCCAGGGACTGAGTAGAAGCGATACTAAGCCGACCCTCGTGCATCAAGCTGTACGGATCAGCATAAAGACCTTCGTTCTTCAGGAGGACCATGCTTTTACCAGACATCTCCTCATCGGGTTTGACATCACGCCGCTCTAGGATGGCTGAGGAGGAGGTGGTTAGGCCTTGAGTCTGTCCGTGAGAGGGTGAAGGGTGGTGGGAGTGGGACGGATGCTGGGGACCCTGTGGGTGAGGGTGACCCGGACCAGCAAAAGAGGGGGGCCGACCTCCACTGTAGGAGAGACGGGATCGGGAAGGAGAACCGGAAGAGGGCGAGGCAGAGGAGGAAGGGAGAGTGTTGAGACGACGGGTTGGTGAGGAGTCCCGGGATGAATAAACCATCTCTCTCTAAAAACAGATGGAGAAAAGAAATTAGCATTTTATGAATACATCACTCAGAGATATTTATATGAATAATCTGTGTCCAAGTCCTGTGACCTATGAGTAGGGGGGAGTACCATTTGTGTTCAAACATTTGATTGTATTGCAATACACAGATCAAAAGTGCAAACTTAAATATATTAATTCAGAATTAATTATAAACTTATATTATTCACAAATATTTTTTAAATATATGACTCATATATAAATAATAATATTAAATTAATTAAACTCAGTGCACAATTTGCCACACCACAAACTGTCAAACACATCTTACCAGCAAGCATACACTCGTTTTCATCCTTCTCTCCACTCTCTGAGGCAGAAGTCTCTAAACTCATCCTTTCCAATCATCCTACTACTTGTCCGCTTGACCCTATTCCATCTCATCTCCTTCAAGCCATTTCTCCTGCCATTGTACCTGCACTCACTCACATCGTTAACTCATCCCTTCACACTGGTGTTTTTCCCTCAACATTTAAACAGGCTCGTATAACCCCACTTCTTAAGAAACCCACTCTTAACCCAACTATTTTAGAGAACTACAGACCGGTTTCCCTTCTATCTTTCATTGCAAAAACACTTGAACAAGTTTTGTTCTACCAAGTCTCAGCCTTTCTCGCACAGAAGACCCTC